TTTCCTACTACACACACACACACACACACACACACACACACACACAAACATCACTTCGCATCCATTTAAACCGCCATTTCGACTGGGTGGTGAAAGGGCGACAGAGGGCGTGCTAATGCCTTAGCATGGAATAAGAAGACTTGTGAAGACCAACAAAATCCATCTTTCGATGCATAGTTTATCATGATGCAGACCAACTCTATTAAGGCTGAACTAAATAGTCTACTGGGTTGTGTGACATACACCGGGGGTCTGTTGCGTTTTTTTGTCCATGGACAAGAAGAATCTGGATTTGATGTGTTGTTGAGAGTTGAGAATCAGTGAGCAGAGAGGCTGGCCTGAGAAAACCCCAACTGTGACATCAGGGTTGTGAACAGAAACTGAACACTAAAATGGCACGACTTGACCTGTTTTGGTTCGAACTACGCAGATTGCCATGCAGAAATCCAGTCTGCCATGTCATGACCTCAAGCTTGGATGTGTGACTCCAAATACGCCATCTAACCCTCCAGTTTCGGATCGGTGCCTGATCTATCAAATTATTTAATAAATTTCTGCTCATGAGTATGGCCTCACGAAATGCGATTAGTAGAAAGAAAATACACGTCATGAGACCTTGTCTAACTTTTAGCTACTATTGTCAAAAGAATTTGCCAACGCAGTTTCCCAACGAAGAATCTAGTACCAATGAAACTCACCGGAATCATACGCGGAGTTATTCCAGATACTGCCACTACAACGATTGATCGGAAATACCGAGAAGATCGCAAGTAGAGCGTGTCATGACTTTACGTACGAAAAATATTAGAAAACATCTAAGTTTCAAGCCTTACAACTTTCACAGCGAACATGCGTGACTGATTATATTGTCAATATCCCCAGCCATGGGTTTCTATGACGGTGCGAAGGTGCTGAAAACTCCCTTGAACAGAGGCGGAGAGACAACATACCCGAAAGCGGGAGAGGAGAGCAGCGGCATCCGACCGCGAGACGATACGAAGGGAGGTGAAAAAGTCGGTGGCAAGAGTTAACTGGTCTTTCTGCGCCGTTGAAACCGCTGCTTCGGACTGCAGCTCCTCTGGTGGCTTATTCACTGACACTTTAAAGCACTCTACGTAGCGCGCCGCTTCAAGAAAGCTGTAGGAGATAAAGCGCGGCATAAAGAAACAGCTTTGGGATTCACTTCCTTCCTCCTCATCAATATTATGCACAATGTTGTGTCATTTATTGAAAGAGTAAAGTAAAACTAGTATACTAATGATATTGGTTAATTTTTCAAGTGTGCAGAACTTCCCAATCCTCTGCGATCAGATGACCATGCTGATGGTACGGAATCCTTCCCTCGCCAACAATAGTAATAAGTCGCTAGGACCTGCCACAAGCCTATTAAAAGCTTACTTCCAGATTTGTAAATCGCTTAGTGTTTTCAGAAGTTAATAGAGAGAGCCACACAGACTGAGTCGCAAGAGTAGCGAAGAAGCCAAAAAAGATTCACGTGAGACTTGGGAGCATCTCGTACGTAAGAGGCTATTGGTCCCTATGCAACATGAGAGTGAATGGAATTGGTAAGGGGAAAAGAATTTACACCAAACTTTAGATGAAAGGGATTAGTTCCAGTTCGGTTCCAGTCTGGTGAAGCCATTAATATACATCAAAGTGTAGCATGGGAAAGTTGCTAAATACATACCAGAAGTGTGAAATCTTTCATCAGAATTATAATTTCTAGATTAAGTGGTTTTTTAAACTCAATTCCCAAGGCAACCTTGTAATTTCCACATATTTTAAAAGGTGAGGAAATTCGCAATACAAGAATAAGCGGACAAAAAGTTAGAGGTACCTCCAAGCAAGCAGTACTGTGACGTTCTGTGTGAGACCGAATTTGTTCAGCTCCTTCAAAGGATGATGAGCGTCGTCCTGTTAAAAAATGGAGGATAAAAAGTAGCAACCGCTGTTAGAGTTCCAGTGGTTAAAGCCTTGTTGTGTGTGTCTAAGATGCAGGAATGAAAACAGGGATGGGGGTAATCATTTTTGCGAACCCAAAAGTGGTGTCTTCGTACACCTGCATGCCACTACGGCTTGAATGCCAGTTAGCCATATTGCGACAGTGTAAACCCTCATGGTTTTCTGCATATGATGGCACAACGACACTCCTGTCATGCGGAAAATCCCACAAAGATTCGTAGAGATCTTTAACTTTCATTTTTTTACTGAGACAAAAGATTGCGCAAAGTTTATGACTTGGATCCATGCAACCAGGATGAACGAAGACTCGATAGATTAAATGAACATTCAATGCTCAACAAGTTTATACGCATTACGCAGGAAAAGTAAACAACCTTTCTAACACGACCCAAATTTATCAGGCGAATAGTACGGAGGTACGAAGCGTGAGGATAGTAAGCTATGATAAATGTACTTTTGACGTACTTTTTGACGACAGTTTTCATATAAGTCAAATACGACGATGAGAATAGCGATGAAAAAACATACCACATCGACTAACACAATGAGCACGATGAGCTGAAAGGTGGACTTGAGTTTCTGAAGCCGCTCGAAGATGTACTCCGGGTTTAGGTTGTGATATCGCAGACTGTGATTGTAATAATTCAAGGGTAAATATAGCACCACTGAAACGGAAGCAGTAGTAGTACTGATGAAAACACGAATACCTGAGAAAGAACGCACACTGGCTGGGACCGAACACATAGTCGGGCTCAATCGCCGCGTACTCCCAAGGAACGTGGCGAATCAATTCCAGGAGTGGATTCCCTCTCTAGGAGACAGATGTCAAATTTCTGTGAGAAATGAACGCAATCAAAACACTCCTGAATCCAGATAGACAACTGACCTGGCGTTGACTAACCAGCAAGTTTTTGCAGTCCACTGGAACTCTAAAACAATAAAACGCTCCGAAAATTAATGAGAAAATGAATATCTGCGCTCATGACTATATCAGGAGTAACAGAAACCTACCCAGCCTTCGTAAGAGTTGACTGAGGCTCGTAAGGAATCTTTTGAGTAGCCGTGATCGAAGTGGCCGAGGCAGATGAGGAAGAAGGGACACCTGGGATTGTAGGAACGTGACCAGAAGCCAGACGACCGAGCACACTACGAGATTTCAACCAAGTGGGGGGAACCCTCACTGCACCGGAGGTGGTGGGCTCATTCCCCTTTTCCCCTTCTCCCATCTTTGATGCGGCAGCTTGTGTGCTGACTATGTCTGGGTTTAAGATGCCCTGACGGTAGGCTGAGAACATTTGCAGTCCTGTGGGAACGTTGGACTTTTCGCCACTGTCATTCTAGGATCAACAAAAACTACCCGTTTCGGATTCACATTCACAACCCACCCTAAAGTACTGTTGAGCAGTCAATAGTGGTGGTAAAATCACATGGTCAGCAAAATTTGACAGCGCAGCATGTACCACTGGCAGGGTTATTTCAAAAACAAGAAAAGTGGTAAATGTAACCTCATTGAGAGGTCAGGGAAAAATTCATTCATGGTGAAAGTGCAAGAATGCAAACTCTAAACGCACAAGACTACCTTTGGCATTGCAATCACACACATCTAAGGGGTTTAAGAACAAATTGATAAATAAGGGGCAACAACTTACAAGGGAGTCGTAATGTAACTCAAAGCGACGTTTTTCTGCTTTTTCCGAGTCACTGCCTTCCGAGGCCTTGAGAGAAAAGTGAGACAATCGACACTCATCGAGAACACCTGCTTTCGCCACTTTTAATACCGTTTACAAAACAGATACGGTGCGAAAAATGTAGCAAAGGCAGAGGAAATGTTTGTTTATATGCATGATATGGACTGGATCAACAATGAGTTCAAATATTTGCAAATATACAGGAGAAAATAACATGTTTTACAGTTCGACGCTTTACCAAAATGACCCTAGACATGCCTTGAGCATGTTAAGATGAAACGGAATCCTGCTGTATATAAACGCGCCTAGACGCCTGATTGTGGCAGTTCAAAATAGTAGCAGCTCTTGATAGGGTAGAAGGGCGGCTGCGCAATATCGTGCTTCCACTCAACGAAGTAAGGTAGAGTTCTCCTAGCGCTAGGGGTGGGCACACAATGGTGAAAAGGAAGCTATTGTATCTGCAATTCTCCACTTAAGCCTAATAATCAACCATGAGTACAGAGGTAGCTAAAAATAATCGCAACAATGGTAAGACAGCTGCCTGGAACGCTCTGAAACACGTGAATGAAACCATGATATTATTATGGTAGTAAAACGATTTCACAGACGCCCCCTCAGGCAGGACGCTACAGGCCACCTTGATTTTACAATAAGCTGTCTATGTAACATTCGAAGACTGAATTACAACAAACAACTACTGGTGTTACTTGTACACTTGCTAAGACCCAAGCACAGTAAAGGATAACAGTCAATCGAAGAAAATGCAAATTGCGATTGCAAATGCGATTGTTATATCTTTTTCCTCTTCAGAATACATAAAATAGGACTGAAAATGAAGGAAAAACACAAAGAGCACAGATAAAGGGAAGGGAGGGGAGCGATGCTATTCAATTATCTCCCATAGAGGAGAAGGAGGGGGATGGACAGATTCCCGCATTATTCAAGCCATTGTATAGCGCAGAACGTTCGTTTTTCAAGTTCAAGTGGAGAGGCTTCGGCTCCCACGAGCCCGGCTCCCTATAGACCTTCGAGTACTCCTCAAAGAACAGCATCACGTGCGGATTCCCACCTAATTCCTCTACAATGCGTCTACACCTAGGCAGAATAGAGAAGGGTAAAAGTAAGGATAATTCAGTTTACATTTTATGTAGTGCATAATATCATCCATTGACCGAAGTAATTGGGCGTATTTAGTCATCTGCGGCAAGCAAGACGTTTTAAGCGTCCCATAATTATACTGATGATACCGACAAAAAATTAACACAGCTTGTGTTCACTCCCAATCAAATGTTTTGTGAGTCGAAGCAGTGATCACTTTGAGTAGATATGAAGGCGATTTTCGGGATAATGGGAAATTGGGAGCACTTTAGCTCGAATTGGGAGTTATTTCTTCCATTCGAAAAAAAGGCCATTGAGGCAACGCAATCTTCGTAGGACCATCTCTTTTAACCACATGCTCGCGAGACAGTGGTTGAGTCGTTTCTAAATTAATACAGCCAGTGATAGCCCTAGATAACAACAAAGTGAGAAATTAACTATTCATAGGGGCAGTAGCCAAGGTAAGAGTTTGGAGAACGATCCATTAGCGTATAAGCTCGTAAGGAGTAGACATTATCGTTCTCCAAATTACTACCTTCTCAAATAAAAATTAATCAACGTTAACAACGCCAATTGAAAAAAAAAATTGCAAAACAGATACATGGAAGTAGATAGCCTTACGAGGATGGATATTTCTTTGATACGAAACAGACAATGAGGTACAAATCCCTTCTAAGTGACAGTAAAAGGCAACAGCCGAAACGAGTTACTTATGCTCACGTACAACATAATAAATCGAGAAAAGGAGTCGACGATGCTAGAGCGAAAAGCCTTTACGTGCAAAACATGCAGTGATATGTGCGGCAAACGTACACAAAAGTCCTGTGTAGCAGGGCCAGCTAACGCTATTTAAGTGAAACAGTGAAATTCCAAAGCTATGCAAAAAGGTGCCAGTGAGGCGACCAACTAACTCCAGCTCCAGTCGGATGAGGGTGCGCGCAGTGTGGGCAAGGGAGCCGAGTTTGCGGAGGTGTTGAATGCAGTGCTCCTTCACGGCGCGATTGGAGGTGCGCTGGCGCAGAATGGCCATCACCTGGTGGTCGTCAGGGAAGCTGTTGATCGCGTGCACCACTGGGAAGCTGAACTTGCCCTCCGTTAGGTCGTCCGCAAAGTCCTTCGCCTCGTGGTACTGAGCGGCATCAGTAACAACGTATATACTAATCTCTTAGGATTATTACAATTAAAGTATTACAAACACACCAGAAGGGCGTCAATCCCTCAGGCAGATTGAAATTTTTCCTCCAGATTTATATCAGAGGCGGATAGGAACAAAGGATCAGTAAAAACTAAGCGCAGAAAGGACAACATAGCACGCAATCTTAGAAGTGAGGCATATCAATGGAGAGAACGGGATTCTGTTCCCAAGTCACATTTGCAAATGTATACAGAACGTTGGCTTGGGTTCACGACGGCAACCAACTTACAGAGGTATCCACAAGGTTAGCAAAATCATCACGAATTTGAAACCACAGGCCGAGTGCATCCAGAAGTGGTTTGTAGTCGCTAAAAAAACCAATTACTAGTTAGAAAGGAAGAGGTATCGAACTAGTAAGATGATAATTATAGTGGTGCCTACGTGGTGTTAGCAGAGAAGAGTTGCATGAAGTTTACAGCCATACCGAAGAGGCCACCAGTTTCTGTGCAAGACAAGGCGGTAAAGGGAATGGGGAAGCCTACTTCGTATGACCATGTCCTTGTACTCCTCCTCAGAGGGACACTTGAGCGAGCATCGCCAGTAGATGTCCAAACCTTGGCCACGGTGAAGATTGACCATTTGTTCTGCGTCAATGAGAGAGGAACAATATGCGTTTAAACGCAAGTGAGGGAAATTGAATCATACTGCAGTCAATGTAGAGGTAAATGGGGATTGTAACGAAAAAAAATTACATTTTAAAGCAGCACAGGTGAGTCATGAATAATAGTACGAACAAGGATGCAGCATGGATACCATTGCATACTGGGGGCACGAAATGCGTGGATAGGTGGCTATCCGACCAAGAAATATTCGATGCGATGCATACCAGCGAAGATTTTCGGAACATCTGGATGTTTGAGAGTAAGAGCCTTTTCCAACGCGATGAAATATGCGTAGTTGGCGGCGTTTATCGACAAGGGGACGCCGAAAAGCATGTGTGCGGAGGGTTTACCTCGCCGACGATCGGAACTGTCCTCTATATCATCGATTCTGCAAGTGATCACATTTGCCACATTTAGGCACTTTAAAATTTTAAGAAATGGTAAAAGAATAAGTGATAAATGGCAATTTTCAACCAGTTTGCCACTCAACTGGAGTTGATGAATAACATTATAATGAACAATATAAACTTCCAGAAGTTTAAATGTATCACCAAAGTTGAGTAGAGTCTGCAGAATTAGTACACAGATTACACACACAGGAAAAGTGCCCCAAAATAAGTCTTCCCTGCCCAATAATATCGTTGATAAAAACAGCAATCATCAGAATACAGGCAATGCTTTACAGTCATCACAACAAGTGTAATGTTTATTTTTAATCCAAGCCATTTAAATGACAGTCGCTATTTAGCACGGAATGATAAATGGGTTGATAAATTGACAAGAAATATGCATAATTAGTAATTCTACGAATTAAAACTCAATAGGAAGCCTCCGTTTTAGGAGACCGGATGTATTATACATATGGAAGCTATCAGAAACTGGACCTTAAAACTTTTCATTAAATATACACAGAGCCGATCCAGTAACGTCTTAACGGAAGCAAGTAAGACTACAGAAAAAATATGAAACTGAGCAGGTTTGATTAATGAAGTGCATGAGCATTGAATCTTATTAAGGTCACTTATTAATATATTAAGTAAACCGAATCCGATACGGAGACAGGCATAGAATGGTGACTCACATTAGGCTCGCATTATGAAGTGTTTCGATTATCTCTTCCAGAATATCTAACTTCTCCTGATCGATATTCAACCACCAGTTAAAAGCCTTTATTAACTTTTTTCGCATCCCTTTACCAGAGTTTTGCGTAAGGTAGATAAACGGGGCAAGTATAACCTGAAGCTATTAAAAATAAACGCCCTACATTGTCTTTATCAAACCCTTGACTGTATTCCATGAATGGGGACGTGGACGGCAAGAATGAACACCAAACGGATCAAGCCGCCTATCAAAGTGTGGCAGGACAATTTGAAAAGCGAGAAGCTGTAATAGACTGTTCAAACAATCAATTTCAGGAAAATGTCTGTTGTGTTCTTAATGCGTTCACGTAGAAGATTAGGAGCAAACAGATGACTGGTGGAATCAAAGTTTGCATAACAAACGTAAATAATGGATTGCTTTCTAAAGGTGTGTATCATGTGCAGCTATTAAAGCGTTAGGAGATATCAGCCAGATATAGGTAGTCACTGGGCGGGTGTGGAAACCCGAAATTTTTACATTCTTTGAAATATTTGTACTGAGTGCTCGCACTCTTTATTTGTTCAATTCAAGATATATGATCATGAACCGGGTACGCACTCTTTTGAATGCTTGTGGGCCATCTGACGCCCATTTGCTCACTATCCTTCTGCATCGCCCGTCTGTTTCGTGTATCATCCTCAAGGAGTGCAGTATTTCTGTGTAATTCAATGCCCCAGAGATCTATACAGTAGTTTTGACTTACTTCTCACATCTTTAGGTCATATTTTTCCACTAGATCAGATGAGACGTATAGTTTATATTGTCTTTTGTACTGTTAAGTTTAGATTGCAACATGCGTCCCCCTCACCGTCTTCAAAGCAGAGGAAGAAAAGACGTGTGCTTTCGGAAAGCGATGATTCTCTTGAGAACTCACAATGTAGTTGATCTAAAATTCCTACTCTTCTTTAGCATCTTCAAAAATGGGTAGTCCCTCAAAGTCAGAAGCCTCCAATTCTGATTGCCATCGGGAAATACTAAAGGAAACTAGTAATCAGGACTGCACTGACAAAGTAGTTGTTGAAGGTAATATTCTCTTTCTTCATATTTTCTAGGCAAAAGTATGTCGTCGGATCGGCAATCTCAAATAGATAGAATAGAGGTTGGTTTCCAAATGTGCATCATATTTTAAAGTGATATCTGCATCAAACAGTGATTTAAAGCGCCTATAATTTTGTCAACAATTAAGTATTGTTGACTGTTCATTTGAGACTGATTCTCCTTGCAGAAACATTCATCGGTCAAATTGAAAAACTCTCCTCCGTTAAGGAAACGCAGAGATGTATCGATCACAAAGATGGAATCCACAACTAGTAAGTTGGACTTTTTTTCCACTGGTTCCACAGTTTTGAAAGAATCTCCAAAACTCGAGCTCTCAGCTTCGAATGCATCTAAGAATGGTATGCAATCACTTTGGTTGCCTCACATAACGCATCTAGATTTAAATGCTGGTCATTCATCAACGTTAGTCTTTTCTTAATACATTTGCTTCTAACAGTGAAGACTTCGATCCCTCCAAGGAGTCCTTTGATCCTGTGAAAGATGCCTGCTGGCGACTCAATGAACCGTATGTAGTCATTCAATTTCATGGAGTGTCCTTTCCTTCAGCGTCCCTTATATTGCATTTGCAAAGACGCTTGAGTGCATTGAAGGCATTTCGAGTCGCCTCAAGATAATCGAAGTTTTGTCAAATTTTTACCGTTCCGTGGGTGTTCTCTCCCCTAAGGAGCTGCCTATTTGCATTTATATGTCTATCAATCGGCTTGGTCCCTCCTATGAGGGTTTAGAGCTGGGCATCGGTGAAAGCCTTCTCATCAAAGCGCTCACTCTTACTACAGGTAACACAGCCCACATTCTCCAAGTTTCTTTAGGTGCTAGTAATATTCGGATCAAATCGGAACTCAACCGCCTTGGCGACCTTGGAGCCGTGGCTGAGGTACGCTGCTACCTCTGTCGGAAAACACCTTCTCTTTAGGCTATTAAATCGCGCCAGCAGACTATGTTCAAACCAAAACCATTAACACTGCAACAGGTGTTTGAACGACTGAAAGAGGTCGCCTTCATGGTCGGGAATGCGGTAAGTTTTCTTGAACACGCGGTCTTCTTTTACTTCACCGTTTTTTCGTATTTTAGTCCCAGACAAAGAAGGTGAAGTTAATTCAGAGTCTTCTGGTTGCATGTCGTGAATCCGAGGCGAAGTACCTTATCCGGAGCCTCCAGGGCAAACTACGCATCGGTTTGGCTGAACAGTCTGTGCTGGCCGCGTTGGGTCAAGCGGTGGCACTGACTCCTTTCCACTCGGTTCAGGCCCTACTAGCTGACGGCCAGCCTCTAACCGCGAATGTTTTGAACACCAGTTTGGGGGCAAGAGGCGGCGCGGAAGCCTGGAAAGCCTATTGCGAAGTGGTGGTGGGGCACGTGAAACAGGCCTACGCACAGTGTCCCAACTATGAAAAGATTGTCCACAGCCTTCTGGAGGATGGACCGGACGATGTGCACAAGCGGTGCTGCATCATCCCGGGTATTCCTATTCGACCCATGCTGGCGCACCCCACCCACGGGGTCACTGAAGTCTTCAAACGCTTTGATCAGGCCGACTTCACGTGCGAGTACAAGTATGATGGAGAGCGCGCCCAAGTAGGCTTCGATATCATCTAGTTCACATTGGTGAACTATACGGTTATTTTTTTAGGGGGACCTCTGAGCGCACACATTGATGATAGAATGATAAAATAGTTTTTTATCCTAGACATTACTTAGCGCCTACTGATGATGAGTCCTTTCTCAAGTTTTTACGTTATGTATCTTTTAGACTTTATTGCAAGTCGAAGATGGAAAACGAATTCACTGGAGTTATCCAACTTTTAGATGTATTCCTTTTTATAATGAAGGTTATTCTCATCTGCAGATGGTAATCGGTTTTGAAGCTAATTATGGAAAAGTGCTCGTGGTGTTTATTGGCGGAAGTGACCACATCACCTATTGTTATTTTCCCATGGTAGTCTCCATGTGTACCGCCTAAGTGATTTTGATAATGCTAATGCAAATAACTCTGATTCACTAAGTTTCATTTTATATTAATGCGAATGTATTTTGAGTCTATCGAATCCCTTTTTCACACCTGAAATCTGTGCCTTCGATTGTTTGCTATCTGTACCATTACTTAATCGCCGCAAATATATGCCTTAACTGTTGATTTCTCCATAATGTACGCTGTATACGCTTACCTATTAGGTTCACCTCTTGCTGGATGGTAGCGTCCGGGTCTACTCGCGCAACCAGGAGGATACGACCTCCAAGTACCCGGATATCGTGAACAGTCTGGTGGACAGTGTTCTCAAAAATGCCAAACTAACCGACGAGGCCTGCAAACTGCTCGGCTCCATCGACACCACGGCTCACGAGGAGAACTCCTCCTTGACTACCTTCATTTTGGACTCGGAGGCTGTGGCCTGGGATGTTGATGCCGCGCAAATTCTTCCATTCCAGGTTCTTAGCACGCGAAAGCGCAAGGTGCGTTGTGAAAGGAATTTTGCCTCTCGTATTTGTTCATCTCCTGCTCTGATTTGGGTCAAGTCGCCGCATGGTGTCAAAACAGTGCCATCTTGGAAAATGTAGCTTGAAATTTCCGTTTTGTTGGTGTACTTTTCACGCCAATATTCTAGTTTCGCTGTGGACTTCGATTCCAGATAAACTATCTTAAAAATAACAAATTGTTTGGCAATTTTGGGGTAGCCTATTTTGACATTCTACTCTTTTATTCGTTTGATTTTTTGCCTTTGAATATGTGATTTAATTAGGTTTTGTGCACTAAATAGAAACTGCATTTATCACTACGTAGTGTGCGCTTAATTCCTACCCCCACCCACCCACCCTTGTAGGACGTTCAGGAGGAAGATGTGAAGGTTCGTGTTTGTATCTACGCCTTCGACCTGCTCTATTTGAATGGGGTATCTCTCACCGAACAGCCCTTCCGAAAGAGGCGGGAACTCCTAAGGTACGTTTCCTTGCCTAAAAAATGCTTACTTCCCTTGCACGGATCGGATTGCGTTAAGGCATTTTTATGAATGGAGGTGATCTAAAATTCTGGAAAATTAATTATTCTGATTGTGCTGTGCCTATTTTGCCCAAGGATACGTAGTCTAGTTTACTATAAACCACCTCTTGGATTGATTGACTAACGCCACTTATGTTACCAGGATATTTGTTGTTTGTTTCTTGATTGGTTATTTGTGTAGGAGCCCTCTGTCAAGGTAGTTGTCACAACAGCAAATAATCCTGGGGGCTTGGTTCTATTAATTTACTATTCATTTTAACACTTAATATGATGTTAGGCGAATGGGTTTCTATCCACTTGCCTGAGTATGTTAAATATAATCATTATCGTTCATGGACATTAAGAGATAATACACTGCGACTAGTGCAGCTAAAATTATCATGATTTGTGTATTACCTTCTTTTTCCATGTTTGAAGTACTCTTTTCACCACTTGTAATGTGTCTCTCATTTTGTTGAAGAAGTGCACCTTCAAGCCACACGTTTTGCCAATTTAATGAAATGCAAGGCAGCAGTTGGGGTCTTCAATATTTAGCTTACTGGAAACGCTTAATACACACCTATATTAACGTTCAATCCCTTATTCCTTTTACTTGTTATTTAAATCAGTGGGGTTCTTTTGTGCTTTTTGCTCTTATTGTACTGCAGACTTGTAGATTGAGGGGTTTAAAGTCACCGTCTCTTATTTGCCTGTTTTTTTCAGACTTGTTTTTCCGACACTTCCCGGAAAATTTATGCTTGCCACTTTCCTAGACAGCTCCGACACGGACAAGATTGCACGCTTTATGGATGAATCGATCAAAGGCAGGTTCTTTTTGTCTCTACCGCATTTTCATCAAGTCCTGCGGTTATCTCTTTGTCATCTCAAATGGAATCTTTTAAGAGGATCTTGATTCTGGGAGTCGCTTTCTATGATCGGATTCTTTACCCCTAGATTTACATTTTTTGCGCACATAACCTCTGATATAGACCCAAGATTTTGCGTCACCATTATGTTAGCGGTACCTTACTTATGGGCCTACGTCCCTTTACCCAAAACTGCATTAATTTGCAAACTGCTCTTTTAGTGAATTCGACTGGTGGCTAGATTGGGAATTAACTTTTTGCGCAGATTAGATGCTTTTACTGTCAGTATCCCCTCTCTGACATGGCTTACTTAACTTAGTTTTTCCATCCACTTTTTACCTAGGAAATTGTGAGGGTTTAATGTTGAAGACACTGGATAGAGACGCCACCTATGAAATTGCCAAACGTTCGCGAAACTGGCTGAAGGTGAGTAGGCTTTGATGAGTTCATCTGTCCATGAGGCACTTTGAGTCTCAAATAACTGAGGTTTACTTCTCTACTTTTAAGCTCAAGAAGGACTACCTCGAAGGTGTTGGTGACACCCTCGATTTAGTCGTAATTGGTGGTTTCCATGGCACTGGGAAGCGAACCGGTCGCTACGGTGGCTTCCTACTCGCCTGCTACAACCCGGATGACGAGGAATATCAAACTATTTGTAAGGTGGGTCTCCGCTCACGTGATCCTCATTTGATAGGTCGGTACCGGTCTGAAAGACGAGGACCTGGCGAATCTGTCAGACTTTTACAAGGACCATATAATTCCCTCAGCCAAGACCTACTACCAATACACCAAGAATCTGGAACCCGACCACTGGTTTGAGCCTGTTCAGGTGTGGGAGGTGAAGGCAGCGGATATCAGTATTTCTCCAGCTCACAAGGCTGCCGCGGGAATGGTAAATTGCTTTATTCTATCATCCAATTTCACACCCCCGCCTTGGTCCTTACAACGTGTGTTTGCGTCTGACTTATGTAGGCGGACCCAGAAAAGGGCCTCTCTTTGCGCTTCCCGCGTTTCCTGCGCGTTCGTGAGGACAAGAAACCTGAGGAGGCGACCACAGCAGCACAAGTGTACGAGATGTACCGCGATCAGGAGCAGATCAAAAATGCGGATAAGCCGGACGAGGCGAATGAGGAGGGCTTTTATTAACTTTTCATGTAGCCACCCATCCACTTTATGCGTGCGTTCATGTGGTTAGTATAAATGGACTTTTTTAATACCATCTTTATTTTATTATACATACTTATAAATGCATGAATTTATGTTTCCCATCACTCACTTTCGTTTCATTGTTAGGGTATGACAGATGTCTGCTAGGATATTTGGTTCTAATAAGTCTCAAGATTGATGAGAGGGTATTTTGAGAATCGTACACTGCTTAGGCCAACAAGGGTACAGAACAGGTCGTATCTATTTATCCACTGATCTTTGTGAGAAAGTGTGCAATAGAGTTCTCTGGAATGTCCAGGTATTCACCAGACTGATCTTATTCTCCAACAAATTTAGTCGGGGAATTCAGTTGTCACTCAACGAGAACAGATTATTCCTTTTGTCTTCCATCAACCCGAAGTTGGTGCTTGATGCGAAGAGTTTAGGGACTGATAGAACCATTACTGGGGTAAGGGGGGGGGAGTGTACCTTTTTTTTCATTTCAGCTACACTGGTAGCGGAGTACCTTAAGGTCTGATTTAAGGTAAGAAAACTGGTCGTTGGAAAAAGGGCGCTTTATTACAACAGAATTGGCTTGTAGCCTCCTAGACAGAGTTCGTCTTGCTTCAAAATTATTAAAGCATTGGTTTGGTAACGCGACAAACATCCTATCTTTTAATACTGGATCGTTTATTACCATAAAAATTCCCTAGTACAATTAATTCGGCGGAGATCGCGATATTCGTAGTGTGGGGAGTTTTTGAGAGGTTTGGAACTGCCTACTCTATCTCTTCCGATGATTCAGAGCTCTCACCATTCTCCTCCGCCTCTTCTATGCTGCTCTTACCCCTTCCGAGGCTGTCTCGAAGGATGATGCTGTGTCTGGGATGGCAGCAAATGAGTGTCGATAGCGCCACGAGAAGTAGCACAAACGTTACAAGGGAGGGCAGCCAGGCAGCACTGCAGATGTGTCTTTGGTCTTGCGCCCTCCCTTCCCGCCAAATCATTTCACCAGTGACAAAATCTGTTTCCTGGAAGTCGCGTGTCAGTATTTGCTCCAGAAAGTGCATTCCCACGATTTCCACCACGACCTGGACGCTCATTAGCACAGGGCCGACACTGCGCACCATCCAGCCGGTCACTGTGACTACACACACCGCTATGGTCAGTGTGGACTCCAACAGAGGCGTGTGAACAATTATACCTTTGTATTCTGGATGGACAAGCTCATAGACACCCTCCTCGATAAGCATCATCACGATGATAGAGAAGAAAAACCGGACACATATGTAAAAGAGCCTAAACTCCGACACCGAACTGGCCACTACGTCTCGCAGCCACGTGGGGATGCAGTGCTGGATGGCGTGTACAGTTATTATGTGCAGCTGGAGTGCAGTGAACATGTTGAGATGACCTAGTAAGGTCCAGAAGAGAACCACTGCCCCGGCCGATGGGAAATCCCAAAACCCATAATCGAAGTCTAGGCCAGTCATGGGGGTTGGAGGACTCCATGTAGTGACTTCTTGGTCCATCTTGCGCTCGCTGGTCACATTCACACCACCTAGAAAAGATCGTATCCATAAGGACGATCGGTCATCCACGCCACTTTCCACTTTGCTATTATAAATACCAACTTCTTTCACTTTCGAAGCCAGCAACATTGACCAGAATTGGTCGCAGAAGAGAACGGTAGCACATATCACCACAGATGCTCTCAATTTCTTTAGACTACTAGCCTTTCGAAGGATCTGGTAAACAGGCAGAATAGTTATGAGGTGTGACAGGAGAGGTAAGAATTCTGCCACACCAAGATTGACAAAACATGGTGCAATTGGAGTGGATATAAAACCTTGGGTTATGTTTGAGATTGACGATATTGACATTGAAACGAGTGTTTGTCCAAGCACCTCTAGCAAACAATGTATGATCACTGCAAACATGGTTACGTTGAAGCCGCCAAATGACGTAACCCCCAAGAAGCATAGGAACGCGAGACTTACGTAGTTATTTGTTTTGTAGAACTCAATAAAGGCATATACAATCGGATTGACACCAGACTTGTATATGTAAATAGTTCCTATCAATAGGTTCACATTGTATAAACCAACCAGAAACCGGTTTCTATAACGGTGCTTAAGATAGTGCCCCACGCTCTCATAGCCGAGTCGATAGAGCCAACTCCACAGAGCAACACATATAGCCAGTGCAACGAGTCGTGTGAGGAAGAGACCCCAGCTCAACAGATCACCGTAGTAGAGGTATTCAGCGAAAGGACTTGGGGCGAAAGACTTGGCACTGGCCACCCCCAAAAAGAGGGGGTTCCTCCAGATGGCACTGGCACCTTCGAGGAATTGAACAACCTGTACATCTGGTGGGTCAGTGGCCCATCGTTTCTTTTTCAACTGACGCGAAAATAACAAACTGAGGCAAATGAAGAGGAGGGTCGCAGCAATGGGAACTGATGCGATGACAATAGTCACTAGGAGCATGGGAGGTTGCAGTGGACATCACGTGGTGTTCAAGGGGATCAATACCCACCGAGGCCTGTTGAATTCATGGCTCGGTCCAATACGCCTGATGCTTGGCGCGGATTTAGTGGAAAGAGGATGAAACCTCAAACCGCTCTCCTGCATTTGGGGCTACTATCAACTGCCGCCGTTTAAGAAGCTTGATATTTTCAACAAAATCGAATAACGAATCCAAATGAGTCCAACTGAATATATTTTAACTCCTTCTTTGTACAGAAGCAGGATCGCTAAGCTAAAGGTCTTTTGATTCAAATAAGCACACTTGGATTTTGACAGCAGCAACTCTGAAATGCGCAATAGCATAAAATTAAAGGTGAGATTAATGTAGTGCTCAAAAAACCACCTAGTAGCGTTTTAAAGAATTAAATAACTGGGACTAGTAGTTGTTTTTGGAATTGAAGAAACCTTAATAGCTCTTATTTATAATCTAAATACCCATTGAAGTTTGGATTTTGTCCTCTCACTTCCGTTCACGAGTATAAAGAACGAATCCCCAAGCCCAGTGAAGGTCTGATCATATTTATCGTACAAAATCAAGGCTACAGTGAGATTTCAAAGAAGCGCAAGATTACCTCTTAAAATCAAATAAATTAAAAACCATTAACGTAATTGTGGCACTCTGAGACTTCCTTGAAGATGAAAGATGACAATATTAGGATAGAATATACATGCTCGACATGCATGAAGGCTTGAATGCTACCGACAGCCCTGAGGCCAGTCGCCCGGCGTAGGTACAATGGCGGAGCCTCCAAGTGGTCTAGGTTTCTACCAATGGACACGCATGACGGCCTGAACATTGCCCCATCTCCCAAAACAGTTATCAAACGGGGCGAAACTCCACATCCAGTTGAATTGCCAAGAGGGGTCAGTGACGTTGCGGTCGAGTAACTCCTCAGTTGCATTAAAATTCGACGACTGGCGCAGTTGGCTCGTGGGTGTGCTTCTTGCAGCGCGAACTACGTTGTGACGGCTGACACAGGAAGTTGCCCAAGGGGAGCACAGGAAATGACGCTCAAAGGAGGAGGGGGCTACACAATAATTTATGTGCTTGTGTAACTCTCAGTTTTAACAAAGAGGCAACTTAGAAGCACCGCCATTGTACCTTTGTCAGATAGGCCAGCCTCCAGGCCATGCCCAGTACTCCCAAGTCCTACTGATGTCATATATACATAATCTCTCCGAGTATTATATCTTCGGTTGTTTTTAGGGGAGTTTTGGGGAAAAGGGGTGGTGGGCTACATGCGTTGCGCCTCGGGTCCTCCTCGAGGTCATAATAAGCCAAAGCAGTATGAAAACACAAGCATTACTAGTGCTGCAGCGGTGAAGTACAATCGGAGATTGAAGTGGACGCGTAGTTAATCACACAATGAAACAAATGACATAGTGAAAGGAAGCTTCTGGCTGTTTAGAGTCATTAACGGCATTAGTTTAATAATTCAGTTTAAAGTTTATGCAATGAACTGAATGCAATGCATAAACACCAAGTTGTGCTTATTAAATTTGAGTAGACGCACGAATTCAAATGCATGCCAACTGTAATAGGTTGCTCGTTTATTTGTTTAACTCTCGGTTTTGGTAAGGGAGTCACTTAAGCTCTCACCACTGTACCCTCGCCAGGTGGGCTGGCCTCCGGGCCGTGCCAGTAGCTAACCCAGCTCCTCTGCACGTCGGCAGTGCATGTTCTGCCTGAGTACTATGTCCTCTTTCATCTTCAGAGAAGTCTCGTGGCCCTACCGGACCATCCGCTGATGCAGATCATTGCGTACACAGGTAGCATGTGACCTACTTTGCGCCAGGATAGATGCCGTGCTATAATTCTGCACGAAAACTGCGTGATGTTGCATATGACAGGGTCCCATGTACTTTGCCTTTGTCAATATACCTGTCCTATTTGTGTGTGATAATTCAGAGCGCGGTGGAAGAAAACCTGTGGCCAGCCCACCGTAAACCACAAGCCTCTCGCACTGCATCACGCGTGTGCTGGATTATTGGCAAAACTGTATTAAAAGCTAAAAAGTGCATTACGAATTTCCATTTCCTAATTCTCTTTAAAAAAATCGAGCGCAAACCTTTTTAGTCTTCATCAATTGTGGCCAAGAGCTTATGGAAAGATTTAAGCATTGTTGTAATACGTTAATTATTTTGGCACTGCGGACACTCAAGGTTACAGCTGTGTACTTCTGCTGGTGAACATGGCCTCGGCCAGGCCAGTAGTCCCCCCCCCTTCTGTACGTCGGCGGTGCACATTGCACCCGATTTATTGTGGCTTCTTTTTTTAGGGCAGACTCTGGGCCCTACATTGATGCCTGTTGTGGGATCAATGTAGCGTTCCGAGTCCGTCCAGGAGACGAAAGACCGCCGCAGTGCTTACAATACTTTGTGAGGGGGCAGAGAAGCACTCGGTTGGTGTTAAAAAATGTTACTTTAAGCAATCAAACAAGGGAATATGCGTCACTTTGTCTATTTAAAGATGAACGGAGCGGGCATTTTGCTAAGTAAATGTTTGTTTAAGACTATCACTTTCTAATCCACAGTGAAAACCAAAAGACTAGTTGCTATTCCCATAAATAAGAACGAAGTTCTCATGGGCAGTGAGATCTACGCATGACTTCGCCCGTCAAAAATAAAACGAAGGCGTGATCTGCGCGTTAGTATGAATGTTTGAAGGCTCCCTAATGCGACCGATTAATTCTGTTGTTCGAAAAGCCACCTTTCGACATGTTATTTAAGTCACTTGTGCGGATGTGCATAAATAAAGTTATCACCGGAGCAGGCGAGTGTCATGAAAGCCGATTTGATGAACAAGTAGTAAATATAATAATGGTGGGGCCTAGGAAAACTTCGGTGGTTGACCTACTTGTTCTCGCAAAAACAGAAGTAGCTCACAGTTGCCAGTAGTTGGTTAACCAGGCCCAAAATCGCGGCATCATTGCTTAAGTGACGAGTATTGGTAGTTTCATGCACCTTAAAGGGTTTTATGCAATCAGACTTTTGTGACCTTGACAAGTAGGTATTGTGCTGCCTATCCGTTGTTTCACATAGTGTAGCATCTGCAGAAGTGCCTCGCAAAGGCAAGAACTTGGCTTTCCATTTGAGCCTTAACACCTAAATCCGACGCGCGACTGTACTGTGCTCCGTCGACACGCCTGCGTTTGGACGGTGATTTTGCGGCAAGTCACTGCCTACAATGATAGAATGTATGCTTTTCCTGGGTGGTTAGCAAACCACGACGGATGCAGAGTGGTTCTACACTTCGAAGGGCCTCTGCTGACCAGCTGCAACACGAATTGGTCTAAGCGACACTGGACCGCGCTCTACCACCGAGACAAGCAACGCATGGATTGGCAGACCCTTTGACTGACTTATCGACCACGCACTTGCTCCCGGTTGCATTCCAGTCTGAGCATGCAGGTGGTGCCGCGACTGGTACTTCTTTAGGCACTGGCTCTACTTTTATGGAAGTTCCACTGTTTTAGTCTGTTCCAACTAACACCAAAACTGTTTACTTGCCTCAAAGCGTTAGTTGGCAGAGTACGGGAGGAATACGGGTTTAGGGTGCTAGAATTGCCTAATCACAATTATTATTCACAAAACAAATGCTAGACTTGAAGGCTGACAATCACCGCCGAGTGTATTTTGGTCAATAAACAGGCACTACCTATGCCAGATTGTACGTACCACACCATCTGCACGGTGACAGTGTCACTGATTTTCTAGTAAAATTCTACCTTTATATAGATTTAATGATGGAAACACAGTGACAGCAACTGCAAATTTTAATTGCCAATCATATTGACTCCGTCTGAGTGGCACTTTTAATTCTGAAGGACTTGACAAGATGAATCCGAATTGGTAAGCCAAATCAATGTGACCTCGACAGAACACTTTCACATTCGGAGAGCTTTGAGTCTATCAACTAACATCTGGTCCGTCAATGTCACTATGGCGTCAGGCACAGCTGGAGTGCCAACCATGCACCGAAATCAATCACGTCAGGAGGATGATATTTATTTCTACTTGTGGATTTGACTTCACGTACCTTTGCAGTCCTCCCGAGCGAGATCTCCACTGCTAGTACAAAACTCAAATTGCGTAATCCACGCTGTCAGACTCCCGAACCTCTCGTGTCCATAGTCGCGCTACTCCCAGATTTGCGTTTCTTTCAGCCCTCAGATAGCCCAGGCAGTAAAATATCATACAGAGTCATGACGCGCCTCAGATACAGCAGAATCCATGCAAACTGGGTTGAGAACAAGGCTCCAGCTGAGTGGGCAGTTACACGCGGTGGAGCCGGAGGACGAGAACCACCCACTGCCGTCCACTCGAACAGTGTGCCTCGCCCGAAGTGTGGGAGTGGAACCAAGGTCAGAATATCCCACAGGTCCTTCGCAACACCACAGGAGATCCTGTAAAACTTGAAAACCCTCTTTTTGAGGACTGTCAACGACGCCACCCATAACCAGCAGAGACCCTTAATCTTTTAAAGATTTGACTTACTGAGGAAGGCCCAGGTGAGTGAGCCAAGGGAAGAAGGAAGAACAGTCGCATAAAGCAGACACATGTTTGATACAAAACGGCCACTCATGATATTATCATCACAAAGCTAATTACACAATCCTCGTTGCGAGTTGACTATTTATATTGCCACGTACACATCCTTTGAAAATTGTGACGAGGCGGCAGCAACATCGAGAACAAGCATTTACACATCGTATTGTTCAAAATTGCCCCCTTTGCCGGACGTGAAATTGAGCTGTCATCAGAAGATGCAAGAAAAGACAATTGTGGAGAAGGGAATCAAGTAGGTATATACATTGCAGTGGGTATCGGGGTATATACATATTCCGCTGCATATACAGTTAAGCATTTGCGCTAAAGGAAGACGCCGCACAAGACGCCGATATCAGCGCCTATCGTAACAGAGCAAGCATCGGTCATTCCCTATTTTGCCTTCGAACTGCCCGGCGAATCGGACGTCCATTTAGCCCTGTCTCTTGAGGAGCGCTGAAAGATTGACACGATTAGAGAATAGCATAGGTGTATTTGGACATTCAATACTAGTTCAGTAAATTAGCTATTAGAACACAAATTCAACAGTTTGAGCATGCATCTAATAGCAAGACATAAAAATATCGAGCTGACAGAATACATGGTAACAATTAAAGAACATTATTTTAACGGTACGGCTTAAGACCACAATTGATTTCTTAACCCCTCGCATATTTAACCAACAAGAAACTGAAAATGAAATTGAACCAAATTTGCAAAGCAGATAGCACGAGTAGCAATATAAACTAGTAACAAACCCCAATAAAAGTGATGTCAGGTTACATTATCCTTACCTTGTCATAGCAGGCGTTGACACGCTTGTATGTACAGCGTCACCAGAGCTACCACCTGATGACAGTTTCGGTTCGCCAAACTTGAATCCAGGTGCGGCAACAGTTGATGCTCCAAAATTGAACGAAACCGACGAGAAATTACCCGGAGTCGCACTCACCATGGGAGTCAAGTTTTCTTTTTTGGCGCTGAAATCAAATCCGGACGCTGTAGCCGGGGAACAAAAGTTGAAGCCGCCGTTCCGCAATTTCGAAGGTATTGAGGGCGTGGCAGGTAGTTCAAAACCCTTAGCTGAAGTGTTAGAGGTGTCAGCAGGTTTTGAAAAAGAGAAGGATGAGACGCCCACGGTGACTGTAGGAAAGCTGGGACCGGAACTTGTATTCGAATTTCGAGAGTCCAAATTTGAAGACTGCCTCAGTGTCGACATAACCACTGGGGGGGAGCCAGCATACTGAGCAGGAGAACCAAAAATACTACCTGCAGGTGTTTTGGGAGAATTGATAAAAGAATTCAGTTCGGGCTTCTTAGCTTGACAACGAACACATTTCGACACAGAAGCACAATTTTTTGCTAAACACGAAACACAACTCCACTCACCGTCCCCAGAGGCAGAGCTGGATTTCAAAGGCTTTTTAGTCTGACAGCACGGACAGAGATCAACGAAAGCATCATTCTTTACCAAACAAGTAGGACAAACCCATTTGTCACCACTTTCATTTGGAATGCTAGATGCGGGTTTCGGCAAGAATGTAGGCCTCTTCGTTTGGCAACAAGGACAAGAAGCAATGTCGTCACTGTTCTTGACCATGCAAGTCGGACATTCCCACTTATTCTTCTCTGTTTTGTCAAACTTAATCCCGATTTCGCTTTTTCGAACTGCGAAGTCACCAAATTTGAAATTAGTAGTAGCCGTTTTGTCAGAATCATTTCCAAAACGAAAACTAACTGTGGTAGGTGCCACGTTATTACCGACAGGATTGCTAAAGTTAAAGCCAGGAATGGGAGCACAATCGACTGCTCTCGAGGCAGAGGAATCGCTTGACTTAGGTTTTGTAGTTTTGCAGCAGGGACATTCTTCAAGACTATTATCGTTTTTAACGAGGCAAGTAGGGCAATTCCATCCTTCGCTGGAAATCAAGGAAGACTGAATCGTAGGCTTGGCAGCTTTGGGTGGATTGGAACTTGATGTGACGGAAGTGCCGAATTTTAACCCAAAACCGGGAATTGGTTCTTGGTCTCTCGCTGATACAACTGAAACAGATTCAGTAGACGAGACTGATTTGGGAGGACCGAAGTTAAACACTGGCACACTAGCGCCCTTATCCTTCGAGGCATCGGTAGTTGCCATGCCCGAAGAGTTCGGTGTGCGACAGAAAACACACTCGGATACTCCCACTTTGTTCTTGACCATACACGTAGGGCACTCCCAACCGTTAGATGGAAGATTACCCAAAAAAGCAGGTTTATCTGAGGTCTTGGTCAGAGAATTAGATTTCGAGAAACTCGGAACAGACGTCGGTAGACGGCAAGACTTGCATACGCCATCACTGCCTGAATTCTCCATCAGACAACTTTCACAACGCCATAAATCCAGACCAGATGATATTGAGGCTAGAAAAGCAAGACCGGTAGTAGAAGCATGGTAAATATAAAGTAAGGGCTATGTGGATATTTACAATCTTAATTAGAGGAACGCTTTTAGATTCTGAGTTTGGCTAAATTGCAATTACGGATATTCATATAATACCTTTCTTTGATGGACATGGGTGACCAGACATCGCTGGCTGCCGACATGACATTAGAGTTGGGAGAAAAGACGAATTTTCTACCGGAGCCGGCCTTTTAAATTGAGATTTAGGGTAGCTAAAAGCAAATTCAGATGCATCTGAAAGGGTGGCAGGAGGTCGCGTGGGGGGTTTCAGAGCAATTGGATTCGAAAAAATAAATCTTGTTCGATTAGGGGATGAGAACTCTGTTTCTGTTGACACTTTTACCGGAGTGCAGACATCAAGAACAGTGCTAGGTATCTGCGAAACAACTTTGTCGGCACCTTCATGCACCGTGTTAGAGCTCGCAAGACTGCCACTGAAAGGACTGATTACTGTTTGCTGTGACTTCTCGGATACAACTACGACATCATGTGACTTAAAAGAGGTAGATTTTAAAGCCTGTGATGATCCAGAAGAAACTTCGAATATTGGTGATTTTGCCATGGCAGTAGTATCGCTTTTGCGATGAGCAACGTCTTCATTGTCATGCTCTCCGATGCGGTCAGGAATGATGGAAAACTGTGGCGGAGCCGATGGGATTGATGATTGAGCTGCAAACTGTCGTTTAAGTTCCTTATAACGATTGTAGGTGGCCATATAAGAAGGGTAACGAGTAGTACTTTTCTTCAATGGCTAGAAAAGCGGGAATCAGAGTTAAAGGAATGCTAATTTACCGTTGAAAGTGGGGAAAAAGGAATCGGTGCGGGTAGCGGAATCTTACTACCAGATGATAGTGTGGAATTATGCCTTTCCAGACTCTGGAGAATACGCTGAGCGGTGGCGCTAAGTATCGCATTGGAAGATGAAGGCATGGTTGTAGATTTTCCGTCTTCATTATTTTCCATTATATAACGAAGAGGAGCAACATGCTAAAATGAGAAGTAACTGGCATGTAACGCGAAACCTAACATTAACACATTGATAAGTATTGTTAAAAATGGAAAAGTCTACTATGCACCCAACTAACCTCAAACACATCACGCGACTGGGGTGTACAGCGCAAACTTGAGGCCCCTCCATACGAGACTTTACCGCGGTAAAACGGCGACGAGAAAGCGTCAGATACTGAGCTGCGAGTAGTTTCCGTACGCATTCTTTTAGGGGCTGAGTGTGTCATGCTTAGGGGCGATTGGTCGGACCCCTCGAGATCAGTCCATAGTCCAATAATGCCCTTATTTCTGTTTGAGCTGTTTCCTTGCCCACTATACTCAGATTTGTAATCCCTATGTGACGGTTTTACTACAGCCCGATCGTCCCGATAACTTCGAGGGAGAAGCGACGACACACCGCTGGTAGATACCGAGGCTCTGCTTCCAGTACTGTATTCCGACCTATCGTCAGCCGCATCTAGATCAACGTCCACGTCTATAGGCATCGATGAGGGTGCTGTCGGAATCTGTACACCCTCTAAACGACTGATGGAGAGCTGACTTGGCAAGCGAGATGAGCTTGGATGCACAGATATTTCTGGGATTGCAGAAGTTCGAGGTCTCTTTGCCGAATGTTCCTCATACTGAACTCCACTATCATTACCTTCTGAAGAGGTCTAAATCGAAGGTTTCATTAAGAGACAAAACTCACCTCCTCTTTTGATTCAAAGAGAGAAGGAAGGAAGGACGTAATGGTGTCAGTAATCCGATACAGCAAGGACTAAAACCAAAAAGAAATAATTATTGCATAAAAGCAGAAAATTATTTGAGACGAACAGAAATACACCTTTCTGCGACGAATAAACCTTCCATTTTGAGGGTTAGGAAACCCATGAGGACCACGACCACTCATTTTCAGACACTCACTATGCAACAAGCGCACTGCTCAGAGAAGCGCAATTTTAAACAAAACATGTCAAAACGTCCTAATATGAAGTTGGAAAACGACGAGGATATGGTTCACAACCACCTATAGCCCAGGCTTAATTCAATTAAAACCAACCCAGTGGGTAGCTTGTTTATACAGTGACTATGTTTTATCAGTTATTGAACAGTATAAAATCGGAATAACATTCTTTAGGTATTTTTCCTGCAATCTTGTTAAGAGTAAATTAAAATTGTTGTTATGATTTCCAGTTCTGCTAAGTTTTATGAGATTCGAATTTCCGTGCATTTTCTTCTCATAAGTGAACTTGTATCCATTCCATTGCGGATATTATTTTTGCAACATTTGGTTATGCTTTTGATAGACAAGATCATGTTGGTTGCACGTAGAGCTGCATAAAATTGACTTAAATTCGACTCACGGTAGTGTAATTACTCAAAATTCCCCTCCTCTACCTCGGACTTTATGCTTTGGAATAAGAAGATTAATTTGAGTAGGAAATCTTTTATTCAGATAGTTTTGCAGAGCCCCAAGACCTTCTTGAAGGTGAAAGAAGGCATGATGCCTGAGCAAAATATGCATTGCTGTCAACCAGAAATATAGGAGAGGAGCCCTATGTGCCCGCGAAACCAAAGCGAAAGGTTAAAAAGCAACCAATGTTTTACAGTGTGGAGGAAAGTGCATAGTTCATCAAAGCTAGTAGGGAGTCCTAGTATGAATTCACCTTTTGGGGTCGACCACTTCCGCTCATTCACGAAGTTGGCGTTAACTGAGAGCTTATGGCCTCAAAGGGCTACTTAGTGGAGCAGCATTACAGTTTTACCTTTCCCTCCTTAGTTCCAGTCCTCTTAACTGGGATGCGTTGTAGTTATGTAGAATTTGCAACAAACCAAGGTTCTGTGGAAGTTTTTTCCTCCCTTGAGAATCGGCGGCACCTGTCAGTCCAATCTACTCACTTGCCATCGAAAAGCTGCAAACAAACGAGCAGGTGTTACACCGTTCCGCAACTTATTTTTTCTTTAAAGCAATTCAGTGACTCTCTACTCTTTCCAACATGACCCAGCTTTGCTTATTAGTCTTGGCAACCTTGAATGCGTTTTAAACTACCTGGTGAGGAATTTTCATTCCATGTGGGTTTTTTTAGCTGTAGAAGTGTTTATTGTGATTTGCAGCCCTTTGCCCCAGAATAAAATTAATTTACCTATTCACGAGCATGCGCATTATCAATCTGCCTCCATAGTGATGTGGCCTGCGGGTCTTCCCGTTGACACATACCCAACTAGGGATAAAATTAAATGGACTGCAAGTGATACTGTTTCGTTGTGAAAAATATTGTGGCAATATTTCGTTTCCTATAATAAAAGGTTGTTACAACTTCAGTCTCCTTCAATAAATTCTGGTAGTAGATTCTAATTTGACACCTTCAATATAGTTTTAACTGTAATATTCCTGATGGCTTTTTTGTACTGCGTACCTCTTTTGGTGTATTTGGTTCCATTCAGTCTGAATATTTGGTCTCTTGGATAGTCGAAAGTGATCAGTCGCGTAATCTCGAGGTCTTTTCCTTTTGTGTGCCCCCTGGATTCCTCGAATTTTCGTTTTGAAGAATGAAGTAGTTAATGCAGTCCACTTCATGAAAGTGACTTGAAAAATCGCAGCTCGTAAAGCGACAAAAGGTGGATTTTGGCATTGACAATTGAATAGTTCAGTCATCCGTCTTAAAGAATTGTATAAGTCCCCATCTGAGTAATTTTCTCAGTCCTGGGCCTGGTAAACATCTTAGTGCAATGAATCGGCTATCCAACGAGGAAAATTAAGGGGCTGCGAACTGATCCTCATTGCTCTGCCTCGATTTACTTTGGTGATAATAAACCTTCTTAATTGCTAATGTTTTTCTAATTCAGCTACACAAAGGCAAAACTCTCATGCAATATGAATTTACCTTTTTGAAACGGCATGTGGCCAAAAAACGAAAATCGGAAGGCGCCTGCTCGACCCCTTGGACTGGTTGGGTGTTAAATGGCCACTAATAATGTTAAAGATCACCTCTCCTCAGCCAGATTGGAAAATACTTAGTACCCGCAGCCGCTAGTTAAAATCGGCCATTCTACTAATACTTCTTGTAGTGAGTAGTAATGAGCTCGGAAACTATGAGAACGAAGTGGTGACTAACCATTGAAGTTTAACTATAGCAGAAGTCCCTGACAGATTAATTTTGAGAATTATTCATGCAATTCCAACTCCGGACTGGCATGGCATGCATTAAATACATAACAAGGACACCTTTTGGAGGGGGGAAAAATATGCATTTCACGGATAACAGCTGAAAGGTTTTAATGTGGTGCATTATTTTCAATGAGTCCTATTTTAGGTAAAAGGACAACACCTAGAGCCTAGACGAATGAAATAGGAGTAGGTGGGGAGCGCCAAAGGCCATAATTTCCATATTTAATTAAGTTAATGGAATATTTTAATTTCTTAATCAAACCATCCTAACCTCGCTTACCGCTTTGATTAAACAGTTGGAGGAGGTTGATCAAACCAAAAGTTGGGGCAACACGTTAGTGAATAGGATTCGCGGTCTCTGCCCAACCCCGATACCCGTAATTTACCGCACCTTTTCATTACTTTAATACAGCTTAACAAAGGGTATTCCCTGGTTGAAGCAAAAGAAAAGAATAAAATGATTGCTACGGGTGGAGTTTATCATCAAGATTTATATTAATTAAACACCCAATTTTGACAATAAAACAAGTAGGTATTTGCTTATGTGGAGTGCTTCGCGAGTGGGTAGGACTCCGCCAGGGTGTATTTTACTGGCGGCATGGCCTGCGGGAGATAACAGTAGGTCCCCGAAACTACCCTGAAAACGAAAGAAGGCAACACTGGGGCAGAATGTGCATTGTTGACATACAGAAGCGCTGTAAGACTATTGGCATTGCCCGGAGGCCAGGTCGCCCAACAAAAGTACACTGTCGCAGACCCTACGTGACCTGTTACTAATACCAAAAGTCCGAGTTAAACAAACAATTAAAGTACTACTTTGTGTCATCTCCCGCCTTCAGGATTGACTCGGGTCGCTACTTGTGCGTAAACCGATTTCTGCAGAAATGCAGAATTAAGTAATGTTTATTTTCCAAAAATAACCTTAAGCACAAATTTCCACCGATAAATTAATTGTGTTGAATTTAATTTCCAAAACAATCGTAAGCACAAAGCCACAAAAATTGACCGGTTCCATAAGACCTTTGTCATCACCTCTCGACAACCCAACAGAATGATTATAGAACTCTAACCTTCTTAGGTGTCAGAGGAAAGGAATCTTCACGCTCTGTTGGGAATGCTCTCCCTGTGAAAACGGCAAATGACATGTCCCGTGGCCTGTCACAGCAAGATACGTGGAGTCATTCCTGCACGCCAAGACCATAACCGATGAAAAATAAATGCATATTGGTAAAGAGTGTTTTAAACCAGCTAAATGATTGGAATTCCATAGCTTTTCAAGCTTCAAGTAGATTTAGTCGCATAGAGCAGGCCCTACGTGCTTCAGCAGGACTCGCCCTTTTTGTACACTGAGAGAACAATTTCGGATTACCGTGGTTGAGACGCGGATGAGTTGCCCCTAAGTAGTAGTACGATGCGATCAGCATGAGGAAAAAGACCCCTGGGAAAGCATTTCTAATCGTGAGAGAAGACGTGTCGAAGGAAGAAGTAGTTCCAAGCAAAGGTTGTCAACCAAATCTTTGCTAAACTTGCGTGGATGCATGCGTAACATTCATTGTCATCTTCTGTATACCGAATGAAAATACCATTCTCAGACACCTGACACAACTGTACTCTTAGTAATTAATGAGATACCTTAACACTTCAGATAGAATAGCTCTTACTTTGGCCATGAATTATACGTCCTCCACGAGAAGCGACCAAACTGAGGTCTAACTCGCAGGCCTTATTCATTAATAAATATTTTCCAGCTATTTTGCAAGTTGTTATAATCAACAATAAAAGTGGGTCATTTCTCCTGGGTGGATTTCCGAATCACAGAAACGATCACTTTTGATAAATCGCAGTCCCAATAAGTCCAATGGTTTGCCCAGATTGAACTCCTATAGGAGATTGCATAGTGCGCCTGGAAATTCTGTCCATTACATATAAAGCAAGCGATATAATAACGGCTTTATTTGGCCACACACCACCTGACGTGGATAGTTAATTCGCACTTGAAGGTGATGGTGGGGGTGGAGGCGGAGGCGGGATGAAGATGCCCTGAGTCACCTTTTCAAAATAATCCCTTAGGTGGGCGGTCCACGCAGAGAGACTGTCACCGGCACCAACGTTACCACAAACGTCCCCATTGCCAACACCGTAGCTGCTACCACCACACTGCGATTGCATCGACTCACCTGAGGTCACACCGCCCAGCCACAAATAGTTCGGTATCTGCAAGGTGTGCTGGCTCACCAGAGAAGAGAGGACAGCTTGTGGCTTCATCATGAGGACGTCAGTGGGGAGCAATGGAGTAGCACCGAGCAGCGTGGGGCGCTTCGGAGGCGCATAGGCTGCCGTGGATGTCTTGGCCTCATTAGGGTCCTCCTCCACAGCCTCAACGGTGGTGGTGATGGTAGAGTTGGTAGTGCAGGTGGCAGAGGGAAGTGAGGGGAGGGAGGCTTTCTTTGAACGGTTGCCACCGTTGAACATGGCCTTGATGTCCTCCCACGCAAAGAGCAGACTATCTGGAGGATTGGGATCAGCCAGAAGAAGGTGACGTCTCCAGGCGTTAAAGTTTGCCGCGTCTGGGTGGCGGTAATTGACGACTTGCTGCTGTACACCAGTTTCAGCCGCATTGTGACAGTGGAAGATGAATTTATTGGGTGAAAAGAATACCTAGGGGGTGGGAATGTGTAAGGAAAGCGAGCACGATTATTTCACCTTGTTGCATGGGTTTTGGGTAAAAATAATATGACGGCCTGAAATAAACCTCCCAAAGAATTAGTTATGTAAAACCCTCAGTAAATCTAATACTTACAGTGTTCATTTGAGCTATTGTAAGAATACTTGGTCTCTACCTTTATGGGGAATATTTAACATGCACTGTTCAGCGCGATACAGAGAAGGAAAGATAAAGGAATGTGGTGTTATCGTCATCAGTGGTAAGAACTGTGAGTTGGTTTCAACAAATATTTTGGTAACGATGCCTACTTTTTAAACTAACAAAAACGAAAATCCTACTACCCTTAACTTAGTCAACTCTGCCGCCTTGTTTTAGGTGCTCATAATATCAGCCTCTGGTACACATTGTTAATGGTTTAACACTCTGTCAAACCAGTACTTATAGTAACCGTTCCTCAAGCTAGCCTTCTCAATCATTTTGACGCAAAGGTTAGGCAAATTGCAACCTAATGGACAGGAGTGAGCTCACATGGCAGAGGGCGCACTGGACACACTTGGCGCGCGAGCTGTTGTAGCGTGTGGGTACAAAGAGGCCAGAGCAACCCCAGCCACAGTGGTGTACCACCTCAAAGGCGAAGTTCTCCGGCAGGCGGGGTGGTGCGGGCAGGTGCTGAAGGAAGGACTCCACGAGACGTTGTGCCTCGCGCTTCGTAATGGTGCCGCAGCGCCGAGAGCTCAGAGGCATCGCGCCCACACGGCGCAGCAGCTCCAGTTGGCGCGGGCTGCATTGCACACAGGTGATGCCAAGCGCCACGCGCCGATTGTGAATCTCGTTGTAGGAATAGCCGCGGAGCAGGCGTGAGGAGATCTGCGCCAGACAGAGGCGCTCTTCTCCGTTTAGCAAGAGGCACACTAACGGCTCGCCAAAGAGATAAAAAGTGGAGAGGGCCGGCTCCTCCATGCCTTTTGGTTGCAACAGGGCGTGAATTGAGTGTGGTAGGGCCTTCTCCTTTTCTGATGAATCCTTCATTAGGCCTAACAATTTTATTATGATTATAATCATGAGGTATTTTTGGTGTGAGCGGTTGTAAATGTAGCCTGTAGAGCAAGCTTAAATATTCGATGCCAATGCTAATGCCAATATTGTTCATTTTAGGTTCTTTAGGTATTTGTTTACCAGTTAAGCTAATGTATTTGATCAATCCTTATGCCTAAGTAAACTAAAAATGGACAGAAGGGATTTAACGTGGTTCATTTTTTCCCAGAGAACTATAGAACTACTGGAAATCTGTGATTCCATGTCGTTGGCTCACTGTGATGTAAATGAAGTGGTTACTATTTTCAACGTAGTTAAACATCGTACACCGGGGGAAAACTATGTTGCCCACAAAGCTGATATATCAGATTCTATAAAAAGTGGTTTTTGAGATTCCTAATAAGATGAGCCTTCTTATACGTATCGAGACCAACATTTGGGGCCATTTGGTGATAATTAATGCAGTCTGTTTGAATAATTGGCATTCGTAACCTTTCAAATCGCTTTACTCTTGATTTTTAGATGCTTGACTAATTATTTCCTTACACCTTTAGCTACACAGGATATTGAATTCACATATCAACATATGAATGGAACCTGCACCAAAACAACCAAAATAAATATCCTTTCGATAGTCACTTTGCAAAACATTGACGCTGGAACTAAATTATTTAAAAATTTTACTGCCATGAATCAAGAAAAAAACCTACAGGGGTGGAAAACGCAACTTTGACAAATGAATGCCGTACTTTGGCCAGGCTTTGACCAAATGCGGCACCAGCAACGCTCGTTAGCCAATAGGATGTCGGGAGGGTGATGGTTAGCCAATGGTAAGCGTGGCGAGGAGGGGAGGGCTGCGGAAGGGGTGCATAGGCGCAAGGAGACTATTCTCCAATAGGCTGAGTCCTTGATACAACCGGTTAGTATAAAAAATTGAATATTTCAAAATTATTTTAACATTTGCTTTTCAGCTACGATGGCTTCCAGAGCATGATTGTTCAATTTCGGAGTTTTCATTGACTCATGTTATTGTGTTTTTGAAATACAACCAAATCCAACAAGATTTAAGTGGGCAGTAAAATACTACTTCTAGAGTTTTAGAGTGATTTCCTTGTTGCTAAGGCGTGATTAAACACAAAAGTAATTCCTAAACAATCTGACAGCAGAGGATATGGCATATACATTACTCCTAAACGTTTCCATCGAACTCGACGTGTGTGGAAAAGTAGAAATAGTTCCTGAAATAGAATCTTTGGTTTAGCAAAGGATATAACCCCGGTCCCACATTACCTAGAATAAAAAACAGATTATTGAATCAATTGCAACAACACTTTATTTAGCTCATCTAATGTTAAACAGTGTGAATGTTGTAAAGTTAAGATAAACAATTGTTATTAAGCACAAGGTTTCACCAAAGAATAATCTGAAAAGATGCCTTGAAATTATGCGACCTGGTGGCCGCTACATTGTCTACATGACTAATGTTCCAGCAGTATTTATTTCCAGTTATCCCAAACGGTCCGAGATGGAGATTCATGTCAAAATATGCACTTATTTTCTACTAGGAGATGTTTGACCACATCTTCTAATTTACCGAGCTTATAAAAGAAATACCACTCTTATAGGTCGTTAACTTTTAGCATAACTTTCGTATTCCATCAAAATTCCTCTTTACCGGTATGCACATTGTCAAGCTCACAGCTGCAGTTGAGTATTATGCTGCCAGCTAAATAGCAATAAAACTTTTTTATTTTACGATAGAATGATATTAATTGTAGTTTTATGTGAAATTCGATCAACCTTTTCGCTCCCTTGCAACCCGGTCGCCATGATGGTGGCATGGAAATTTGCTCATACCAAGCTCGCTAATGCTCCTCCAACTTCCTTGCACGTTTGCCGAAGGAGCTGGCTCGAAACCTATAGGCTTTCTAAAGCATTCAGGGACAACTTGAGCACTGAAAGCGCGCTTTATTATTATTTGTTTGACGAGTTATTCGTCAACATCAACTCAAACTACCCTCCATTGCTCTTGCAACCGAATCAAAAGTTTAACAAAGGATTACGTAGCCCCTCTCTTTTGAGCGTAGCCCCCGGTGCACCTTCTAGTCAACCTCCCGCGTCGGATATCACAACGTAGTTTATGCTGTAAGAGAAGCATCCACGAATTAACTGCGCCAGTCATCGAATTTCCATGCAACTGAGGAGATGTTTGATCACAACATCATGAATCCCTCTTGGCAAATTTACTGGATTGGCAGTTTCGGCCTGTATGGAGACTGGAATCGGGGACGGAGGAACAGTGCTGGTCATCACGCGTGACCATAGCCAGTAGTAGGAACACTGGCCTAAAAGCAGTCATGTAAAAAAAGACGCGCTTCTACAAAGTTCAGTGGTGCCCAGCCGCATCTATCTAGATCCTATTCAACTAGTAGAGAAGTGGAGGTATAACGCGCTCGTTCAATTGATTTCTTCATACAGGAACGATAGACAGCTTTGTAACGAACTATTCCAGTGTCGCTTCAGTTTTGAATAAATTTCCTGCAGATCAGGGGACTGGGGTAGTCGTGTATTTTCTCAGCCGGAGTGTATCCACTCCTCTTGTCGGGCTAAGGTTTACCACCCAGCAGTAGAAAACAGGATAGGCGTCCTTTAAGATCGAGTCTGCTTTCTGCTGCCACCATTGTAGCGCCATGCGACTTCCATAAAGACGAACAAAGACATAATACTAGGGTAGAATATGTGCAGTAGACACACGGAAGGGATTAAAGCTACCAGACAGCCCAGGAGAGGAACAATGGAGGAGTCCCGAAGCGGCTCATGATCAAAGCCGAGAGTTAAACGAACAGTTAACCTATTACAAATCATGTCTTTCCCAAACCACCATCATGACAACAAGAGTACAGTAATTGCAGTATCAGTGTTCTCCTCACAAAGACAGCGAAAGTAAAATATCTTTTTCAATTGGTTGAACTCTACCTAGCCTCCTTAGAGTTTTACAGGATGTATGAAATGCAGAGTGGGGAAATCACACCTCCAACACTCGGTTTGAGAGGTAACAGGAGCCACGTGATTCACACCCCATTCTTGCCAAAGAAGGTGTGGTGGAAAGGTCCAATTATTCAGGCCTCTTTTTTCTTGCCCCTTTTTCACTCACCTCACCCTTCCCTTTCGTCTACTTGTCCGCGTGCGTGTGAGGATATAAGGAGAGGAAGGAGGAGGGGGAGCAAACCCCCAACAATACACCAGACATGTAACAATGCTATTAAGTGTTAAACAAGGGAGATAAGTTAAGGCGCAGAAATCACATATATGCCAATACAAATACTGGTTGAGAGAGGGAGTGAAGGTGAGGAGGTGATGAAGGACAATGGATTTGATTGAGGAATAAACGTATTTATATACATCTTCTGGAGGAGTGGGAAGCATGGAGGGGGGGGGGAGAGCAATGGAGCCTGGTGGCAGGATTGACTAACAATGACAGCAACAATAGCCAAGATAATGGGTTATTCAGTGTTTTGTGATTAGAAAGCGGGGCTATTGTGGCGCACAAAAATTTGCCACAAACTCAAAGTAAAAGCAGTGGTGGTAGTGGTTGGGCGTTTTCTGGCCACGCCAATTAGAGCTGAGCCACATGTCAGATGGGAAACAAAAGGTTTTACCCACGGTTTAACAAGTTGAAAAAGGTGGAAGAATATATCAATGTAATGGAACGCTGCAATAGCGGACCCCGTTTGGGGTGTCAAATGGCTTAGCTTTTAAAGAATTTCATCGTAGCTATCTTTGCAATGTTAAGAGGGAAAATTTCGGTGCTTTAGGAGCGTAAAAATGACAACTCACATGCAGTAGTATGATTTATTTGAAACCCATCCGCTTGACTGTAGTCTGATGTTATTTGCACAAAAGAAGGGAGAAAAGGACATCAAACGAGGTACGCTCAGCACCTCTTTTCCAAATTCCAGAAAACATGGTATACAGGGCCCAGTCCATAAATGCCAAATTTTACAAGCACCAAAGAGGGGCCCCAATCCATCCACGCTTACCGATGCATTAAATTGCGGACCGTCTTATGGGCGAGGGCCACGATCTCCTCCGTAATATGAGAGCAGGCTCATAATAGCATTAAACCACGGTTCAAGTCATAAACGTATCTTACCTGTTGCTTGAAAAGCCGCTGATTACTTAATCTGCCTAAAATAATATTTTTAGCAAACCCAGAATCCCAGAACCTGCACATTTCATTCACTTTTGATTGACGTTTACCAGAAATCTTGATTTAACTAATAAACCATTAGCTATCAAGAATAAATGATTGCTCAAGTTTAAATATTGTACCCCGAGACAAAAGAAGTCATATTACTCGGACAGAATATGTACTGCCGACGTGCAAAATAGCTGGGGAGCTACTGGCATGGCCCAAAGGCCAGACCACCTGGAGTCACCCATGTGACTCCTTTATCAAAACTGAGTTAAACAACCAGTGTGTTACATAGCCGCTCTCCTCTATTGAGCGCCATCCCTGGCGTTTCACTTGTTTAACCTCCCGCGTCAGCCATCATAACTAAGTCGGTGTTGTTAGGGTAACACCCACGAGCCAACCGTGCCAGGCCCAGAACTTCCAAGCAGCTGAGATATTTGACCACCAAGTCACTGATCCCTCTTGGCAATTCCACTGGAGCTAGGGTTTCATCCTGTACGAGAACCGTATTGGGGGACTGGGAATGTACTGATCATCACGCATGTCCATCGCTGGTAGTAGGAATACTGGTCTAGAAGCCGAGTCTTATAACGAAGGGCGGGATTAAACATCGTTCTGAGAGAATCACGTTTTGCGCCTTTTCCTCGTTGCCAATTTGTTCTCACTTCAGAGCTACTCGACCGTATCTATCTGGGTTCGATATAGCATTTTCGCATGTTTGATATCTTCGCGCATGCAACTCCATAGCAAAACTTTTCCAGATGGTACAAGGTCACGGGTCGTGTCACTCCAGTTGTTAATATTTTGCCTGCAGAACAGGGAACTGGGATCGTGTGCAAAGGTAAACGGCATTTTCAGCCCCTCTGTTAGAAATTTTCACCGATTCCCCTGTCCACGGGGGACACTTGTACTTGATGATAGGGTTCGTTTTCGGCTGTAACCACTGTGTAGCGCCCCAAGATTTCCCTGAAGACAAGGGAAGATTATGTTTTGTAGACATACAGGTGGACTTGAGGCTACTGGCATGGCCCGGAGGCCAGCCAGCTTGGCAAAGGCACAATGGCGAAGCACCTAAGTGGCCCTTTACCATAATCGAGAGGTAAACCAGCAATTGACGTATTACACAATCACTATGCTTGAGTAACTGCCCTCACACCGTGATAAGTAATTCAGAGTTAATTAACGCATTCAGATCTCTCACTGATAGAAACAAGAAATGATTCACTTTCCGTTTGAATGAAGCGGACTGGTTAAATCGTGGGCAGGCAGTAGTAGTCACATTGTATTTTATTTGATGTAGAGATCTAGACCCGCGCAAATTAATCATCCATGCTACTGGAGCAATTCCCATTTGAGAGATTTTATTCAAAAGATACAAAAATGCGCGAGGGGAGTCACAAATACACACATGGATGCGGAATCTTGGTGGTGAAGCCCAATCACACCCCTTCCCCCTCTTCCTTCTGCACTGCGCAGTGCCACGAGGGAGATGAGACTCGTGGCGATTTGAGCAGTAAGTGGACCGTAGTACGCACACCTACTCCCTGGGGAAGGATTTCTGGTCACCACCACCTTCGCCACATCAACGTACCCTTACCTGCTTGCAAAGAGAAGGCAATTCCCGGGCTTGCCCCCTCCATTCCACCCCACTCTCGGGTAATAGCTGATATTCAACCAATTCCCTCGGTGGAAGTAGCAAAAAAAGCTCCTCCTGAAATAGGACCCTCAGTTGGGACACGCTCATCAGGCACGAAATTAAAGTCACAAGCGTTGAGAAAACCAAATCTTACAAAATTGGAGCAACTCACACTTGTATTTAGTCTTAGTTTCGAGAATTAAAATAGTGTTTGAGGGTAGCAAATGAGAGAACAGCTGCGGTACATCATAATACGCCCACTCACATACCAATTAGGCAATGTGTAGATCAAGGTGCTTTATTTGCATGCGTACACAGACGACCCTTTCCACTAAGTTGAGACAAAAGTGCTTAACCGTTGAGAGGTGACAAGACTTTCTAATCCTCTGCATAAGCAATTGAAAAACCGTAAAAATAATGGCTTACCATAAATGAATAATTACTCCAAAGCCTAGGGGATGCAGATACATATGCGCGATAGTCTTTCCTATCAACAGGTTGTTAAAATGGAGAACAGATGCAAGATTTCAAAAACCACCAATCTGTCGGGCACTTTCACTTGATCACTACTCAGTTCACAACACTACCAGACAGCACCGAAGATTTTGAGGCATCGTACTTACCCACTGGGTAGAATTCTTGATTTTTGGCCATATTTTGAGTTCAGGTAGAAGTTTCTTTGAGGATAGTAAAGGGTTTGAGGCGCAAAACCTCTGAGCCCAAGATGAGCCAAAACGCCAGTGATGGTAGCGCAATGGAGGACAGGCAAGCATTGGTAAAAGCAAAGGCCGCGTTTCATCGCACGAAGTCCGACAACAATAATACACAAATGTAAACGGACGAACGCTACTAAATGAATGTCAGTAAAAATCATATTCCACAAATCAATCCCCGCAACCACAAGTGCGATGCGGTAACAACACGAGTAGAAGATACACGATAGAAAAGAGGCCCTTCCTTCACTATAAGATAGGTGGTCGTTTATTCTCTGAGTCCTTTGTCTTAACCGCCTTTGTGGAGAGGAAGGCGTCAATGAACTTAGTCGCGTCGATGCGCAACCGTCCGCGTGCATCAGGACTGTGGACGAATTTGCTGAAGGCGTCGGCCAGTGGGGTATTTGGTCTGCTCGGTGATGGCGGTGGGCTATTCATCTCCAGTACCATGTGATCACTCTCCGCCTATGCATTAGAAGAGGAAAAATTGAGGGCTTCGCAAATACACGAAAGCAAATAACCCAGCTCTTGATTTAATAAATAGACAAATTACCTTCAGTTGCTGGGGCTGTTCCGGTTGGACCCTTGTACTAGGGTTAAGAGGGGCGGATGGAGGAGAGGGAGCGAGACTCCGAGTGAAAACAGAAGTGGAAGCACAGGGGGGGTCGAAAACGATAGGTAGAGTAAAAGTGGGGACTGTTGCTCCGGCCGAGTCAATCCGGGCGGCCGCCCGCGTCACCGCCACGAAGCCCAGATTCTCCTCATCAGAGGAGGGTGGGGGTGGGTGGCTCAAAGGCGACGTCTGAGTGATCGTCCGCAGTGGCTGGCGCGGTCGCTTTGGCTCAGTCTCGCATGCCGCCAAACCCTCAGGGTCCTTGAATATCTGCAAGCCTACGGTGCAGAAAATAGACCATTCAAGAGGTGCACTAGCTGGTCAAGGTGGAACTAGCGGGTTCCAAAGGACCAGAGGTAACCATTTCCACGAAAGACAAGAAATCACTTAAAAAACGCATGGAAACATAAAAAGAATAAAAGTAAGTGATGTTCTACACAACTTAGTAGATGAAGGTATGGAAAATTGAGACAGGCAAGCACCGTGTTCAAACATTTGCACACTCAATAAACAATTGCAAGGATAAATTTCAGGCAATGTTTTGAGGATAATCATGGCTCATATGCTCTTGAAACATTAAGATGCAGAAATCCAAACAACACCGACAGTGAAAGGTGATACAACAATGATGAATACTACAGCTATACTGCAGAGATGAAGTAATCCTCAAAGGTGCCTATGGTACTAATCGTCAATGCTACTGACAACCCTTCCCCATTCGTTAGCAAGTTCTTAGGAGAGTTAAAGCGGGAAACACAGTAGACATGAAACAAACCTAACGGCTTCTCTGACCGCACGAACTGAAGGGGCGGGGACTCATCTTTGTGCGTCTGAAGCCCGCCTATGCAATGGGTAGGAAAAGTAAAGCAGATAATGATATGGGCAGATAAGAGTTTCCTGTAAGTCGATTGTAGTAATAATATTTGCGCGACTTAAAATGCGAATCCGGTGAGCTCCCAAGTTCAAAAGCTGATTTAATCAAAGAAAAACGTTCCGGCCCGAGCACCATAAAAATGACTGATATGCCGGGTGCAAAAGCATTTACGCTAATTAAATATCATTTTATTTGAGCACCCAGAACCATTATGCGCGCGTTGAACAATGTCTGCATGGTTTATAGTAGATATTGAAGCTTTTCTAGGGAAACAATTTGTAAACCACAAAACGCCGCCAATTTTGATGTCATAAAGGTACGCCACAAGGGGCTTTGGAAAGTTTTGACAAAAGCAGCTCAAAAGTATTTTTGGATGCCACTTGTTTGACTTCAGACAAGGGTGGTGAGCAATCGCACCTAGACAGCGGCCAGGGAGCACCTCGAGAGGGACGTCTTTGTGAATGTAGAGCGGAGTGGAGGGTTTGGGGGTGGAAGCAATGCTCGTTCCTCCCACCGTGGACGTCTTTATGGTGAGCGTCTCCTGGTGCTGCCGCTCGCTGTCGTCCTCATAGAACATCTGTCTTATCTGGTCCATCTTCTGACGTACGTTCACAGTCAAGGTCGGTGTGGGCTGCACGGTAGGGCAAAACAGTCTCAATAATTGTGCGGTGAAGCCTAAGGATAGCCAAGTTTTAATTAAACCGCATAATAGTGTAATGAGTGTGTCAAGGGATAAAGCATTTTAAGCTTGTGAGAGTTAGTAATGGCCTTACAGTGAGGCAAAACAATTTAAACACATGCAGTGTTACAATGCTACTGACACTCAAACACGCCATAGATCCGATCGAGTGCCTGGTCAACGATGTGGAGTAAGAAAATGCAATAACTTAACAGTAGTGTGCTTTAAACACAATTATGGTTTATAAAGGCGTTTATTGAAATTTATGCTTGCATTCCCAACTAAAAGATACATACCGACACAAATAACTCTACAGCAACCATGGCGTTAATCGAGAAGGATTAGCGACAGATGAGAGCGCAGTTGCTGGAAGACATGATCCATGAGTGGTCCGGGTAACTAACATCACAAAGTGCAATCTAACATTTTAGCTACTGGCCCATTACAGGTATAGTCCCATTCCTTTCGACAATTAAAAAAGATCTTTCAAGTGAAAGGAACTTGCATGGACTCATGAGAGGGAAAAAGGAAGTCAGTGAAGAGGAAACATAAGGCTAACGTTAAAAAATAACATTTGCAGATGATGAAAATGTAAAACTTGGAGCAAGTACGTCTTCATTTAAGGCCTACCAGCGAAATTATAGAAACAATAAAAGTAACCATGAAGTAGTAGAATAGGACAATGAATTTTGACAAAGGAATTAAAACACACCCCAGTGTCAATGGGAACCTCCCTTTCGACACAGGAGAGGATTGTGTTCACCCCGGGTACTGGATTATAGTAGGTGGAAACGGTGTCATCGCACACCGAGGACATGTTAACATCAGACACCGATGTCGTCAGTTGGTCTGACACAGCTTCAACCGTTTTCGGAATGCCCGATTGCATTTGCCTAAGACGGAAGCAATGATTTGAACCGCAACACTGCGAGAAAACTGTTGTTTTGCATATAGCATTACTATAAACAAGCAATTCTACCGAGTTACTGATGCACTAGTTAGGATATATCACGTTTATTATCTTAATTGATACTTGAATGAAAGTTGCTTAAAACAGCACAGGTTATTCATTAAAGTACTTCCTAATTCTCTTCGGTGTTAACAAGAACCCAAAAAAATTACCTAAGGTGGTTGTTTTCCTCCTTGAGATTAGCATTTTCTTCATTCAAGCTCTAACAATACATAAACCCAGAGCAATTATTCTGTCCTACCTGGATTTCTTTTCGAAGAGCAATATTGTGGAAAATCAGCTCAGCCACACTACCCTCGGTACACTCCCAGGAACATGAAATGCCACAATCTAGAAATTAAAAATCATTCCTACGAGAGAACAAACTTATTTTGGCTAATCTTATCGTCATTCGCATTTCCGGAAACGTTTCTTCACCAAATAACCAAAACAAGGAAGAATTATCTATGGCCTGGTGTTCATTTACTCGCAGCGCGTACTTGTCAGCTTTGCTCATCTCAAAACACCTCTCCGTTCCATCTTTTGAAAGAAGCTATGTGTGGAAAATAATGAATTCAAATCGGCCTTACATTTGAATCAAACGCAAAGATCTTAGAACAGGCATCCATCCTCTAAAGTCAGGTAATAAACAACCACGTTATCTAAAAAACAAATGAGCCAGCTAGCAAAAAATCAACCAAATAGGAGGAGGCAAGCAAGATAATGTGTACAACTCCCTATTCAAGAGACAGGGATTATATTACAAAACAACAAAGCATGAACGACAAAAGCCCACATCGCGTTATTTAGCTAAACATACTGATGGAAGCAACTAAAATCGCCAATGGTACACCTATCATAAAGTCGAACCCAAAATTCTAAAATCTAGACTCGGTTTCAATGCGTTAAAACACTTTGCGCCCTAATTACAGTGAAAGAGGCAAACCTTTTTTATAAAGCTTAAGAAATTTTGGACTCACACTGAAAGCACAAGTCATTGTTACTTTATTAATTAAATTACATGGCCATGAGTCATTATGATGAAGCAAATAGGGGCCTATAAAAATCATCTTTATTTGAAATAAGGGAAACTCTAACATGCTAAGCTATTTATTTAAAGTGCATCGCAATATACTCACATTTAACTGAGTAGAAAGATTGTTCTTAATTTTCAGTTAGAGCAATTATGTTAAAATATGCGTTAAATAAATTTTGTAGATGATCAGTTTGTGATCATAGACAATTTTACTTGTAAGTAGCTCATTGGACACTTTTAGCTTTTTCTTGGAGGCAGAATACTGATACCACTCGAAGGCCAGGCCTCCCCGGGGTGTTGCAATGGCGGTGGCCCTATGGGGCCCACTGCAAAAATAAGAGTAAAACAAGTAATAAGACTGTACAATTGATTAGCAGTGGGATCTTCTTCTGCTTTTGGAATAATCACCTCAGTAATTTTTAGCACGATTCACTTGGTTGCACTAGCCGGCCGTTTGTATAGGGACCCCAGTAGACAGTCGAAACGAAGCGTGCCAAATACACCACTTTTATGGCATCATACTTCAAGATCCATGTCTAAACCCATTTGCCGGCAGAAGAGCAGCCTTGGTGTGGAGAATCCCAAGCTGATCTGGTGGCTCTGAAACCGCTCTGGAAACGGTGTGTAAGAAGGGAATAGATACTCAAGAGGATGACAGGATTCGTAAAACTCGGTAACCGTAGCAAGTAGAAACGGAGAAAGAAATCCGAGGCATGAATGTGAGGAGGAAAGTATAGGGGAAAATAAAACACTCACGGACAGGACCATCCATGTCGCAACCAGCTTTTGTCGTTGTCATTGTTGATTCAGGGTCGTAAGGGCAGCAGGTAATCCAGTGGACGCCATCACGTTTAACGCACAAGAATGGTCTAGGAAAGTGTTTACTTCTGGTACTTGTCTCGTCCTTGTCATACCATTTCATAAGCCATTTTATTCAGTAGTGAATCACTTCAAGTTCCATTGGATATGTATGGATGTAGTGAGAGGCCTAAGAAAGCATGATATTTTTTGACAACGCAAATTAAATCTATTTGTTGTTGTTGTTTCTGGCTGATTTGGTGGATATCGACTCTATTGTGGGATTAAACCCTTTAGAGATGAAAGATTAAGCCTTACTGGTTCTAGATAGCATCTATGTGTTGGAGCTGAACAGTGCAAACGGTCTGACACGAAATTTTAAACAAAACCATTATACCTGGTTTGCACCGACAGAGGTGCTTGAACAATTCGTACTTCCGAAGTACGTAATTCTGTTTCTTGAAAGCTGCTCCACTGAAAAAACGCGGTGAACTTTGTCCCAAGGAATGAGAAGTGCTAGTAACTATTTTTCAAGGTTGGAAACATTTTTGACTGATAATTATGAAAACAATAGAACACAAAAATTTTAACCCTTTTTCACGTTAAAAAGGAATCGAGATCCTTTAAACGCCTGTGTCACAAACTGGGAAGAATGAAAATGTTGGGCGGCACACAATGGTGGAGAAAAGGGGCATAAATTAGTGATGGTGTAAGGAGATACTCCTTCGTAGGAATCGTCGATATGACCGAGAGCACGAGATTCGTCATTCTGCCTGCCTTGTATCCTAGGTAGCCCGAGAAAACAGACATTTTATTACAAAGTCTCCTAGTTTTACGATGTCACTGGTCATTGTTGATATTCTTTATTTATTTTTAGAGAACTGCGGAAATGGGAGACCCTTAGAAATTCCAACCAGTTTTGGCTAAGTATTAATATCGAATATTGTTGGGCTGACTTCTCACTTACATAGGTAATATGATCTGGCAATACACTTCCGGTTGGCATTTTAAGCTCATAATATGTCCAGCTACATTTACTAACAAGACCTATAATTAGGAGGAATGCTGTATCTCAGTTTTGAAGTGCTCGCTTGACGGTGACTTCAGACGAATTAGTGGATCGGAAAGGGAAGCCAACTTTTCCAAAGCTCAAATGCTCAAATCACTGATAAAAACCGCCTCTTTGAACGTTAGCGCAAGACAAATTACTCCACAGAAGAGCGTTCACCTTCACCCTGCTTTCTTTTTAGGTAAGTTACGACATTTATGAAGAGTTATATAAGGCCTCGAAATGTTGATTACGACCCTCAACAGTTACGCCTCCACCACGGACTTAAGGCTGTGCATCTGTACTTCTGCTGATCGACATGGCTTCCAGGCCGTGCTAGTGATCTTTAAGCCCTTCTGCTTGTCAACAAAACATTCTGCAAGAGTATACTCATCGTCAGTTATGAGGGATGACTCAGGACGCTAAATTGATGGCAGCAGAAAGCAAATCCCATCTCAAAAAGCAACAATCCCTGTTTCTACTGCTGGGCATTAAAATGTAGTAGGGTGGAAAGGGTGCATGCGCTGCAGATGGGAGAATCTGTGACAACGCCTAACAAAATTGCTAAAAATGACGTCCACCTTCGGCAACTACCCCAGTTCCATGATCCACAGGAAAGCTGTTAGCATTTAAAGCGACAGCAGTCGTGAACCGTCTGAAAGAGTTAACTACGGAACTGTTTACCGTACCTGTATGAGGATGTTAATGAGGTGAACACGCGATACCTCCTACACCTCCCCACTAGCTGGGTGGAATTCAGATGGATACGGCTGGGAAGCGCTGAAATGAAAATATAGTTGCAAGGAGGAATAAATGCAAAACTGATTTAAACTCCTCCCTGTATTAAATAATTATCTTTGGGCTAGTGTTCCTACGTCTAGCGGTGAACATGCTTGATAAACAACATAATTCCCTTCCCCACTACAGTTCCTTCCAGTAGAATTGCCAATAGGGATCAGTGAAGTTGCCATCAGGCATATTCTCAGTTGCATGAAAATTCGGAGACTGGCGCAATTAGCTCCTTCATTTCACCTTTTAACCTACGGTCGAGGAGGTGTGAAAATATGGGTGACGAAATAGAAAGACCGCAGAGTCGTGACTGTCTACCATTGTCTGTAACGCCAGGAATTACTGTCCAGCGGCCATGGCACTTTGGCGCGCAAATTGTTTTCATCATCTCTGGGAAAGTGGCGCGATAACAACGCACCTCATGCTCATCCCGTATTAGCATATGTGTTTCACACCAGAGCCCACTCTTTAAAAAATTTGCTTCACTAACCCAGCAATTTTGGTGAGAGTATTGGCATACATTCAAACAGCAAAAGAAACGGCATTTCCTTAAAACAGTGGTAAACAAGGAACCTAGTTTGTGAAAAATATACTCCAGCAAAGCCGCCTTAATTTGGGTAGAAATTAGGTCCAGTGGCTAAAAATGGCAAAAGGGGTATGTGCAGGGGGAAAGTTGTTGGACTTCCATACGCTGCTGCCACGGAAAGCCAAGAGGTTTGGTGTTGATTGTGCAAAATTAAACAGGATCACAAATTTTCATCCCTGATCCATCGAAGAGTTAATTTGTCAAGTGCGTCAAAGCCCTTGAGCCACAAAAATTCAGATTACTTTTCACTGTTAGGAGTTTAGCATCGGGTGGATGGGTACATTGAAGGTGTAAAGGAAGACTAAGATGCGTGCGAAGTTCGTCTGCTTACCGCTGCCCGCTGCAGCATGCCTCCTTCAGTCTGAAGGTGTTGGCATAGGCTTATTCGGGTGCAGAAAACTAAGTCTTTTGCCTATAGGACCAGAGTCCACACGACTTCCAGTAGAATTACGCCAAAATGTTCCAAAAACTCCAAGTGTGAAATTGTACTATCATCTACAAATGGAGGCTCACCCAACAAGGAAATAGGTGAGATGTAAATGATATGCTTGGTAAAACTGTACACATTTGATTTGAATGGCGCCTATGCTCAGGCCACGCACAAATTGCCTTCGAAACCTCTGGAAAGTTCTCGTCTATGTTTGATCACTCGACATCAAACCGAAAAGCGAATGTTGCACACCAGAAATTGATAACCTACTTCATCTAAAAATATGCCTTTGTCATGCATCGTTTCACTCAATCAAGCAGACTGACTTGATTAAAGCATTAAATCTGTTTGAATTTGTCCACATCCACGTCCACTTTTATTTACAGGTTTTTAATTTGTTTAACAACTGTGTACAATCAGCTCCACTGTAATTCATCGTAGCATACAAAACTCGAGATTTGGTCAAAATTTATTCACCGGCAATCCTTAGTGGAGACATCGTGGTCTTAATAAATCCCAATTGCACAAGGTGTAGTTCATGAAATTGCAAGATAGTTGGTATCACACAGACGACAATGACTTAAAGGAGGATAGAAGGGGGGATAGTGATGTGGAGCTCTGAAACTTCTCAGAAGATGGATGAAGACATACTACGGTGGCCTAAGGCTACTGCCATGGCCCGAAGGCCATAATGCCCAGAAGGAGCACAAAGGCGAAACCTTGAGTTCCCACAAAACCAAAACAAAGAATTGAACAAGCAACCAAAGCATCGCATAGGCCCTCACCTCTTTTGAGTGCTGTCACCAGCGCCTCCCTCCCTCAACCTCCTGTGTCGTCCACCACAGCGTAATCAATGCAGTAGGAACAACACCGACGAGCCAACAGTGCTAGTCATAGAATTTCTATGTAACTGAGATGATACCTGAAGGCAACGTCACTGATCCCTCTTTGCACTTCTACTGAATCTGGAGATTCGCCCATTTTGGGAACTGTATTGGGGGAAGGGGGAGTGAGTGGGCCATCACTAGTGCTCGTCGGTAGTCCTAGGCACCCTGACCTAAAAAACAGAGTCATGTAACAAAGGACATAGTTCAACGTAGTTCCTTTGGGATAAGGTTTAGCGCATATTCCGACTTGTCACTTTATTCCTACTTTAGAGCTGCCCGGCCATATTAATCTAAATTTCACCCAGCTAGCAGAGGGCCGGAGGAGGTATAGCAGCTTCCCATAACTGACGTCTTCATACAGGTAACGTTAACAACTCCGTAACGAACTTTTCCTGGTGTATCACGGCTAGTGGTGCTTCAGCGGTTAATAGCATTCCTGCCGAACACGGGACTGGGGTATTTGGCGAGGGTAGACATCATTTTCAGTCCTCCTGTCAGAGGTCATCACAAATTCTAGCATCCGCAGTACATACTCCTCTTTCGTCACGTTGAGGTTTAGCATTCAGTGACAGAAATCGGAGCAGTTGTCCTCTAGGGTCAATCTCGCTTTTCGCTGTCACCAATGTAGCGCACCAAGATTTCGTTGAAGGCGAAAGAAGCCACAAGATTAGGGCTACAGAAGGGCTAAGGGGCTACTGGCATGCCCTGGAGGTTAGGCCTTCAGGCAAGGTATAATGGCGAAGCTCCTAAGTGATTCATTACCAAAATCGAGAGTTACACAAGCAAAGAATAAGCGGCGCCAATCGAATTCAAAGTTTTACATCCACGAGTGATTGAACTTCATCAGGAAAGTGTCACTATTCAAATAAGCCCTCAAATTTAAACGTCTCTCCCTTGGATTGAAAGACGCAATTCTTTCATTGCTATGCACTGAAGAACAATGCACAAAATAGAGAGAGATTTTCTGAAAATTTTGCTTACCTTGAGTGCGTAAGAGCACATTCTCAGTATAAACGTTAGTCTCCCAGTACCACCATTGTAAACACGGGCCTTCCAATTTTATTTGTATTTCTCTCATGCGAAATTTTATTAGTTGATGTAACAAACAATTAGTCAAAATGCATAAAAATTATAGCTTACTTGCGAAAAGCCATTCCAAGGACATTTAAAAACCTCAAACTTCACCACATTCGCTTTAATGAGAACTAGAGGCCGTAAGAATAGCCCCCGTAAGGTGTTTAAACTAACACGTGACCTTGAGGGGGATTGATTGCAACCTTGCTTAACTCGTTCCAAAGTCGTGTTAAGTTTGTCTGGGGGGGTGGGGTATGACGAATGTTTGCAAGAAGACAACCCTACGCACGCGACTGGTATATTGCTCCGGGAAGCCTCAGTCCATACAAGTTGTGTGCAGTCCCTGTTGTCCGCGGTCATGTGGCCATCTCGAACAGACCGGTGTAAGGAGAGCCTCTGACCATCCTTTCGATCACCCCTCTCGAAATGTTCCTGATGACAAGACCCCAAATGATCCTAAAAGCTCAAACCAGGAGGCTAATGCAAAGCCGAACTTTAATCCAGGGACTGATTATACTGACGGTAAAACACAACAGCAAATCGGTAAATCTTCTTCCGATGAAAAAAACTCAAATGATCTTAAGAGATTTGAACGTGATACTACCAAAAAAGGCAACTTCCCTTCAAGGTCAAGCAAAAATGATGCGAAGAAACGTTCTCGATCGACCAGTCCTTCAAATTCTGACGAAAAGGCTTCAAATGATTCGAAATGGAGTGGACGCAGCAGCAACAGGAAAAGAAAATCAATTTCATCTTCTGGTAAAAGGGAATCAAGCAAACGATCCCAGCAGTTGAGTCCGCCTCATACTGCAGAGAAGTCCTTAAACGAGTCCAAAAGATCGCTATTTGACGAGTCCAAAAGGTCAAACACCAGTGCAATGACTGGTATGAGTGACACAAAAAGGGGGTCCCAGCAAAAGGTTCAGTCTACTTTCGATGAAAAAGCTTTTAATGGAGAAAAAGGAGGTAATCTTAGGAATCCTAATGCTGCTTCAACTCTTGATAGGGGTGCTACGAAGAAAGGCCTTCAACCGAATGAACAGTCTATTAATGTTGAAAATCCCCCCGATAATAATTTTGGAAGGTTAAATTCCATCCCTCCAAATGGTAGGGATGACGAGCACAAAAGGTCTCAGATGACAAGTTCTTCCATTTCTGTAGAAAAATCCTCATTGGATCCGAAAAAGTCAGTAACCAATAATGGTACAAAAACAAATGATGCCGCCCTTGATAAAATGGATCAAGTTTCTACTCAGGGAATCCATTCGAAAGATGTGGACGGAACCGGAACGAGTGAAAGGAAGAAGGAGACCAATACTCAGTATGGGAATAAAAATGTCGCTGGTCGTGCTAATCAGGCATCTTTCGGCCAAAAAAGTCCCACAGCAGATGATAGAGCCCGATCGGATGATGTAAGGAGAGCGAATGCTAATGGAGTAGACGATAGAAGTGCCAGAAATGGTGCTGGTCGTGTGAGCCAGACGACTTTCGGACAGAAAAGTCCAGCACCAGGTGGTAGAGCCCAATTAGATGAGCCAAGGAAGGCA